CTAGTTGGCTTCGTTTCGCTCCATATCTAAATTGATATCGTTGATGCCTTCTCACCGTCCGGCAGTGACGCCTCGGAAACGATGGAGTTGTGGAAAGCCGAAGGCCGACAAACAGAAGTGCCAGAATGTGACTTACGAAAGCTGCAAAAAAAAATGAGACTTGCAGCTCTGTAATGTGCCGGTTTCAATTTTGTTTAACTTAATTTGCGACTACGAGACAAACGTAGCCCAATTTCTTGCGCAGTCCAGACCGGAAGCCGGTATTTGGCCCAATGCGTTTCTCCCAGCCTTCCAGCTGAATGCGTTTCTCGATCTCCTTGACGACGAGACGAATAAGATCTCCATTGGTGTGCGTCTTTTAGCGGATATTTGCGAGCCACATAAATGCACCAAATATCATATGTTGACAAGCTCGGGCACCACAGGTTATCGTGCAGCTACTCTGCCGGTAGACAAGCGCGACACGGTGGATTAAACAGCATTGTGTGCTGGGCCTGTTTTTCAGCCGGCGTTCCCGCTAAGCTTGTACCACGCGGCACGTCCTCCATACCAGATCGACGCCTTGACGGTTGTACAACTTGCGCCTAGAAAAGGGGAAAGTGCCTGGCTTGGGATGTGAAGTGTGTCGCCACGCATGTTTTCACCGATAATGACCTTTTCACATACCTTTCGCCTGTAGGAGAGTTGACAGAGGAACGGATGGCGATAGGAAAGCGATAGTTGTTGTACAATCCAGAATCCAGATTACAATATGCATTACCTACCAGGTCCGCGCAAATTCGCGGAATAAATAAGCGATCGACTGAATGCAAAAATTAATTGCTTGCAACTACTTCGATCGATAATATTATAGGTAGAAGTATAATTTTCTCTGTTGCTAATGTGTTTCTCTGGAATTTCTGTCAGTTTCTCAGTGTTTTTGACCTTTCTTTTCAAAAAACGCTACTTCTAATTAAGGAAAATGTTGTTTCAAGAAATTTAGAAGTTTCGCTTAATTTCTCTTAGGACTTGCTCCGGTTTTCCTAGTAATTTAAGCGTTACTGTTACCATTAAACGCCAGTGGCAAAAAAATCGCTTATAGGCTTCGGTTAGTCGGCACTCGACAGTAGGAGTACCGAGTACGGTACATTTTGCTTACAGCACATTTTCAGTTCTGAAATTTGCCGGTTTCTCAACATCTCAGTCTTACACGTGTTTTGTCGTTAACTGGAACGACGAGCATAGTGCATGCATGCTGCATTACGCGATACCCGAATCGCAGACCAATGCAGGTGCTTGCGGTATGTAAACCAGTTTGTATCCTGTATGAGTATACGTAAATTTAAGTAAATCTGCGTTATTTGGAAACGCATGCATTTCCGCTCGTCTCCCCAGTGGCAGAGGAACCTGCTGGCCGCAAATTCACGGTAAAAATACAGGACTGGAGCACGTGATTACGAGTACAAATGCCGGATCTTTTCACGTGAAGTGTCCGCTTAGTCACTTTCATACCAATATTGCCATAAATGAGACTATATAGTGTCATTCAAGTCTTTTGTCCGGTAACTGTTCTCTTTGTTGCTTCACGGACTGAAAATAACCAGCGGAGAAACTCGTAATACTGGAAACGAGTTTTCCGGTCTTTAAAATGAAGATATAAAGGTCATAGTAGAATTGTTTCAAAATTCGGGTTTACTTTATGTTTCTTGACTTTTAACCATTTTTTTCGTCAGTTTGAATAGTTATTATATTGTTTCGGTATTTTGTTCTGGTTTTAAATGCTTAGGGTTAGAATTCCCCGCGCCCAGTAACGTTTCCCCTTTTCAGTTTCTGAACCATTAGAAATTCTAAAGCGGCAAAAACATCCAGATCTACAGTATGTCACGAAGTGCCACGCATATGTAACATCAAGCCATCAAACCAGAAAAGACCGACCTCAAATACATAGTATTGTAAAGTATACTAAAGGTATTATTGTAACAACAGCCTGTCTGGCTGCTGTTTACTGGGGTGCCGATCAGTCTTCACCACGATTACGCGGTTTTTGTGATGGAAATGTGGCATATCAGGCAAAGGCAACGTTGCGGCTGAGAACGCTTTCATCTGACTTGATAAATTACTCAGGCAGCTGCAACTGGGATGAAGCTGGGTCATCTCAAGCGGTCAAACGCAACAAAGCACAGTTCACGGCGTGCTTACTCAAAAGGATCATGCAAGAAATGACCAAATTAAAGGGCAAAAAACCCATGGAAGTGGTGAGTAAGTAAAAAAAGGAATTTAAAATTACCATCAGGAAATTTGAAGATGCAGATGATTCGTTGTTCATTTTGTATACTCGAAGCGATCCGTTAAGAAATGTCGATATACTGCAAGAACAGCGTTTATATGAAAAAATAAACACAAAGCAAAGACTTCTAACATCCGGAAGTCAGTATTACGCAGCAAATTGATTAATTAGACAACCGTTGCTGCCGGATTCATTAAATCATCTTCAGAAGCTGGCACAAAATGATGATGTGAAAAATTTCGCGGAACATCAGCTAACGGTAGCTGCATGACTAAAAACTATCTTTTCCTGATACCGCTTTCGTGTACGAATTTGTTTTGGTACGTATGCTTTTAGTTATCAGGAAGTTTGCCTTTAGCAATTTTAAAGTGAATATGAATACGGATATCGCATTACTGTGACCATGCAGCGGTGGTGGCAAAACTGTTTGATATTACCCTTTAGCAATATATGTAAGCGCATATCCTGGACAGCCAAGAAAATCCGCTGGTATATAAGCTGCACCAGCAATGCGGCAGAAGACCATATTGCGCCATTTAACACAATTTAATGCAATTCACCCACTCTAGTCCCTGTTTTAATTACCAAGTTTTCCTTCTTCGAACCCACATCAGTTTTTAAAATGAGGCCATCAACTGTATTAGTTGTTGTCGTGGCTGTCGTCGGCATTATGAGTGAGCTCGTGACATGCACTATGTAAGTAGAAAGATTGTTTAATACTGTGACACGTACTAGCGCTAAAATGTTTTGCTTCTTTGCAGGGATTTCCGAGGGTGCCGTTGTCACGGTGAACCCACCTTTCAGGCCTGCGTAGACTGCACCGACAATTGCGGGCGAAAACCGTTCTGTGGAATAAGTGGCGGCGCTTATTGGTGCGCCATCAGATCCGATTCGGCAGAGCCAAATCCCGGTAAAGAGCGCGCCTTCGAAGACTGCTGCGCCAAATGTGACTCAGCCTGCCAAGGCGAGATAACCTGCAAGCCCTTACGTTTTTGGTGAAATCGCTGCTAAATGTCAAAGAAAATCATTAAAAAATTTGAACTTTCCCAGTTAATGTCAGCCAGCTTGAAGAGCACTTTCTATTCTTATTATAATTACTTTACTATGTATATTATTTTGTCATATTTAATTTTATAATAATTTGGATAATTATTATTGGTAAATTTATACAGATTTATAACAATATGGTTATGGAGCTTTCTGCGCTGTCTGTCCTGGAATTTGCTCTTGCAGTCGCTACAACAAACAAACACATGACTGTGCTGTTCAGCATGAGTGGCTTTGGCTTTGAGTGCTCATGATTAGCATTGCATAAATTTATTGATTTTTTAGAGTTTAACCTCTATATAGTAAGTATGCTTTTAGACTTAGTTTAGACACTCGGAGACAGTGGGCGTGTACGTATAGGGTCGTTTGTATAGTTTTCGTAAAGTACTGACTACAGTGAAACCTCCAAGATACGTACACCTCCGTTCAAAAATTTCGTACGTAACTCAGAGGTGTACGTAACATAGAATCACCAGCCCCCCTGGGGGGCGACTGTATAATGGGGGCACTGCCCCACCCCGGGGTGCTCAGTATACAGTGCGTGCAACTGCACTGTACACTGCGTGCTGCTCTGAAATGCATATGTTGCATTAGTGTGCCCAAATTTTTATCTTTTTACAGCATATAAGCAGGCGGAAAAGTTTCTCCTTCACAATTCAAACAGAAAAATCGTCCGAATCAGTTCAGAACAAAAGACAACATACAATGTTGAGCTAGCTTCTTTGGATTTTCTCAATTTTCCCATCAAATATTTTTTAAAAAATCAAATGCTGAGTCACCGGTGTACGACTGTACATATGTTCGAGGTGATGGCGTACAGTTCAATGCTCAGGTGGTTCAGAGAAAAGTGTACGTGTACGCATCGTAGAGGTGTACGTCACGTAGAGGTTCCCCCCTGTACTGCAGTCTACGGAGAGTTTCGGTACAGAATTTTTGTACTTAAGTGAGGTGTACGTATCTTGGGAGTGTACGTACGAGGAGGTTTCACTGTACTTCGTTATTGTACGCACATAAATTTCCGCATCGTTTAACTCATACCTGCGTACGTACTACGTAGTATTGTGCGTACTTACTGCCATATCATTATTATGTCCAGTACGTTCAGTGCACCTGATGTATGCGTGTTGCATGTTTACCACGGGTCAGAATTTGGTGATCGGTAGATCTAGTTGCATAATTCGTAAAATGATTAATTAATACGCCAGTTGTGAGTCTGCTGGTTTCTTCGGCATTGTCCAGTCGGCGCTCGAAAAAAGCCGGCTGTCCAAATTGGGCACCGCCAGACGGGCAGCAGACTGGTCAGCTGCGGATGCAAGAATCAGACCTCAACGGCGGTGTAAAAAATCGGAAAAAAACAATAGAGAGCCTGAGAAACCCGTGTAAGCGGGTACGCCGGGTAGCCGAAATGTGCGATTGTTGCACTACCGTTTCATAGAAGCACTCGTACACATTTTCAGCGGGTTGTCGCTGTTGGCGCTAAGACAAATAAAGGAACCAGACTTATCCAGTTGCAAATTTATTGGAACTCGCTTTATGAAAAGGTCTCAAGTTGCTCGAGAACACAGTAGCAATTCTAGCATTAATATTATACCTACACACTCACTTCACACGTTTATCGCTGAATCGAACTCGTATCAGCGGTTCAGATGCCTGATCGTTGTACTAGCACGAAAGAATGCAGTGCTACCCTAATTATGCATTTTATTCTTTACACCCCTCGGGAATATTTTATACCACAAACACAGACCGAACTCACGAATTTCCCTTTGGCCACAAATCGAATGTCGAAATCTGGGTACTATATTCAACATCGCGGAAGCTGGTTATCAGATGATCAAACATGCTGTTACAGAAAGATTGTCCGCTAAAATTTGTTTTTTATTAAATCAGAAAAAACAAGCTGAAGAAGACTGCGGATCGCAACAAGCTAACGTTCAGCAGGCGCGCACCAGAAAAATTACTGCGTGGTAAGGAGGCATATTGTTATGAGCCTGGTTTCCGCCCCTTGCATCTGTTACTACATTATCCTCCGGCTTTGAAAAGTAGTAACCATGACGATTTCTGCTATAGTAATGATTGGTCCAGTCATAGAACTTCGACGTGTCCATACTCCATCCTGCCGAGCTCCAGGCTTGTCGGTGGTTATGAGAGGGCATTTCATGAATTGTTAGATAGTGTTCCTTTTCTCCACCGGTGCTGCCAACAGGCATCGTCCAATCGGCATTCACCAAAAATCGACCCTCCAAATTGGGGGTTCTTCCCGTGGGCAACAGGCTGGCCAGCTGCTGGTATACGGTAACGTCAAACGCCTGCCCATTGCATCGTAACCAACACAGCGATTGCATATCCACGGCCACCGCCTGGATGGAACCAATAGGTGTTAGTTGATTCTGCATTGCGGCTTCCAAACGATTTACTTGATGCTGCAGAGAACTGGTCAGCGGTGCAGAGCTAACACCGGCCGCCATGCTGTAGTCGACGTGGAGTTTGCTAGCACGGACGGACAGCGTCAAGAAATGGGCTTGTTCAAGTAGTCGGTTCAAATCCAGGCAGTACATTGCGACGTCCGGTTGTTGATGTGTCCCCGGCCAGTACGTCGCCTGCCACATGGCTGCAGTGAACTGTGTGGATGACGTAATATTCTTGCGAATGACCGGCATCAGCTGCGCCAGGTGCTCCAGATACTGCTCGTAGTCGACGTATTCATCTAATTCCAGAGCAATGTTAAGACAATTGGTTAACATCTGATGTAGCAAAGCTGAATAATCTTCCTTGCGGAGGAAGACGTATCCCGCAAACTCCTTAATAACTGCCCGGAAAATCGGCGCGTCTTGCAGGTGCATTTTATTAACATCGACCCTGAGTTGTCGCGGATTTACACTTGGCAGGTTGAATGCAAAATGCAGGTGCACGGTGAAGGTTGTACCGGTGCCATTTCGTAAGCTACGTTGCGCTTCGGTGCAATCAGCACCGGTTGAGCAGCGGATGCGGAAGACCAGAGTTTGTGGTAGATTGGTTATTGGCTGCCAGGATGTGCGAGCATGGTAACTGCCGACAGAATACTCCACGTGCATCCACAGAAAGGGCAATGGAAAAACCCGCACCGTTTCGGTTCCGGTCTCCTTCTTTATATAGTTCTTGACCTGCTGCACAAAATCGTCATCCCACATTTTTATCGTCAATTCCAAGTAGTACGAGTCGATGATGTTGTCATATATCACTTCCGTCGAATCGGACAGCAGCGTCGCCATGGGTGCGAAGAAGAAGGTGGGATCTGCTGTGTTGGATGCCGCCCGGAAGATTCCGATCTGCCGGCCATCGTATGGCACCGTGAAGGTTGGCGAGGACACGTCGACAACTGCTGCAATCACAAAAAGCCCTCGGCTACATGTTCAAGTTACACATGACCGCTCGTGGCACTAATTTTCTTTAGAATTGCAAAAATTACAGTATGTTGTTACGTCTACAGATTTCAGTAAATTTAAGAGCTGCACCTGTAGGGAAAACTGGCACTGTTACAAGCGCCAAAATCAGCAACATCAGATGTAGTGATGCCATACTGATACGACGCTCCGTTCCTACAGCCGCTGTGGCATCCAAACAATTATATCGACAATAATTAAATATATTATCCAGCTTGCTTAATATTTAAGTATATTATCCAGCTTCATCCAGCTTGCTGCTTCTGTATATTTTGTAGACAATGTGCCGTAACAGACCAAGTTTGCTTGCTTATATATTGCACATTTATCGTAATTATACGACGTAGAAGGCATATGACGGGAAACGTAATAATTGTTGATGATTACGTTTTATCCGAGCGATAATAACAGAATCTGTTACAAAGGTAATCATGACGCAAGTGCCGTCATTACCATTACGAAGTATTGTCATTTAAGAACTGTTTCAGTAAACAGGAAGTAATAACGAGTGCAGTATAACAGTCCCTTATCAGTATATCAGTCAGTATGTCAATCAGTATATCTGTCACCGATTGCCCCGAGTTTTATCGGAAACCGGAAATGTTTCCGACGGCGATCCGATCTACAGTTGTGTTGGCCCTACAAAAAGTCTTTGTCCCGCCGGGTGATTTGGCCGACCATTGTTTCACATTTTATTGTTCAGCATCCGGGCTGGGAGTTCGACAGCAATGAGCCTTCGCTACATAATCCTAATATTATGTACATAGTTGCTCCCCGTGTTTCGGTTTCGGTGTATTTTTTTTGGGTCTGGCCAACGCGAGATTTAGTTTTCAAGTTGCGATGATGTAATACTGCTCTGAAATGAGATCTGGAATACCCTTCTATGCAGCTGAATTCGATTGACGTTACGTATTCGATTTCGTTTTCAAATGGAATTTCTTCCAGTGATGGGAGGTCTTCTATTCGCAAAAATGTATATAACTAATTTTGTACTTGTTATATACAAATGTATATATATAGGACTAAGTTTTCAAGTTTCGATGATGTAATACTGTTCTGAAATGATATCTGGAATACCCTTCTAATCTTCTATGCAGCTAAATTTGATTGAAGTTGCGTATTCGATTTCGTTTTCAAATGGAATTTCTTCCAGTGATGGGAGGTCTTCTATTCGCAAATACGGCACATAGCCTTATACGAGTCTTATGGCCTCGAACTTTAATAATATTTTTTTCTTGCTTACTCTTAAAAAAATGCCTGTCGATGTCGGTCGCATACTTGTTGCAATTAAAGGGTCATGTAATGCGGCTGCAGAATTTTTTCTTTGGCATCTCCTGCTTAAAATTGTTTCCTTTGGTAAAGAAAGGAGGTCGGTTCAGCAACTTTCTCTCATTACCTTTACATGTTTAATCGTTGCCTTAGCGAAGGATATGGTCATGGTCAGCGAAGCCGACAGATTGTAGCATATAAATACATGGTAATACGTGGTTTATTCGTATCTTACACACTCTGCACATATAAGACCGGAAGTGGAAGTGGGACGTGTTCCTGAGGAGTTCCAGACAGGGATTCCTGATTATCGTGTTCCTGTGTTTTCCCCGTCGTTTCTACAAGTGATTCGCTGTAACAGTTTTAGATTAAAGAGCGCTCTACCGACTGAGTCGTGGCGTAGAAGTGAGCTGGTCCTAAATTCAGTTGTGATCCCTTGACACTGCAACGGCTACAGCTGCATAAAAGCGAAAATATAAACGAGAAAAATTAATTAAAAATTTAAAGACTCTAATTATTACCATCGTCCGCATGGCCGCGCTGGCAGTCTGATGAGCAATATATGTTGTTGCATTCTGTTCGTTAGATCTTATAGTATACACTGGTGGCTGGACTTCAAAATGGTGTAACGGAATACCTCTCTTTAGCATAGCGCCGTCCGCTATGGGTGAAACATCTTTGAGAAATCCACTGAAAACGGGAGGCATAAAAGGAATCAAAAACACTATGAGTTGCAGTAAATCAAAGTTCAGCAGGCACGCATAAGACAAACCACAGCGTGGTAAAGAGGCATACTGTTATGAGCCTGGTTACCGCCGGGTGCGAGCGTGACTGCCGGCTCGTGTTGCACTTAGCAATAGAAGCCCAGATGTTGATTGTCGAAGTAGGTGGTGATACAGTGTTGAACTTGTGGGTGGTCATTTCAAGGTCGAGCGTGATTATGATAAGTTTGGTGCTGATAAGCAGGTATCTCATTAACGGGTAAATAATGTTCCTCTTCTGCCACCACTACTTCGACTGGCATCGACGCATCAGAGCCCACACACAACTGGCCTTCCAGATTCGGTGTAAGCCCACTGGGCAACAAGCAAGTCAGTTGCGGATACTCGGTGACGTTGAACGGCTGTCCATTGCACCGTAACCACCAGCACGACGTGTGGTTGTCCACAGCCACAGCTTGTATGGACCCAACGGGCGGTTCCGCGGCACGCAGTATCTGGACGCCCTCTTCTACTGGTGGTATTGCATCTAACAAAAGATTGACCTAATGCTGCAGAGAATTGACCAGTGGCGAAGGACTGATACCGGACGCCAGGATGTAATCGGCGTGCAGTTTGCTGGCCCGGATGGCGAGCGTTCGGAAATTGTCTTGTTCATGCAGTCTTTGCAGATCCAAGCAGTACATCGCCACGTCAACGACTCAACAGGATGACGTGGTTCAGGCCAATATGTTGCCTCCCACATTGCCACAGTAGACTGTGTTGCTGACGTGATGACGGTGATGTTCTTGCGGAAAGCCGGCAGCAACCGCGTCAAATGCTCTTGAAACTGTTCGTGGTCGACGAATTCATCGGGCTCCAGAGCAGCATCGAGACTGTTAGTTACCACCTGCTGCAGCAGAGCCGAATAATCTTCTTTGCGAAGGAAGACAAATTCGCCACACTGCTCGGTGCTTGTACGGAACATTGGCGCGTCTTGCATGTGGATGTTATTCACAGCAATGCTTAGTTTTCGTGGGAAACTTGGCTGGCGATACGCAAAATGTAGGCGCACACTGAACGTGGTGTCGGTTCCGTTCTGTAGAACACACTGCGCCTCGTTGCAGCCAGCACTCGTTGGGCAGCGGACACGAAAGACCAGTGTTCTAAAGATGAACGGTTTAACGCAAGGAAAAGTCGACTATTATTTTCCCAGCTAGTTGAAAGAAAATCACATCATATTATCTTTTGATGCACTAAAACCATGCGACTTCCGACATCCTTCGAAGTTTTATCAGAATTCTAATCCACATCAAGCATGATTTTTTCTGCGCGGGTAAAATCAGCAGTAGAATGCTTCATTATTTTTGTACCTCGTCATATGCGAATACATATATGACTACTATTGGTCAAAGGTTCACATGGTGTGCGCGCATGCTGAGTGCCAAAATTAGTGCTAAAAACACCGGAAATTTCTCGTTCAATAAAGCCTATAATGGAGGTCCGATAATGGAGGTCTTTTAAATTTTTTTACGGTTAAGTTACTAAAGCATTTAGTCTTCGACGACTTTCGTATTTTCAATATGCGCTGCCTCTGTGTTTGTGTCAGTTTCCGTTATCAGTATGAAAATCTTGAATGGTTTTTGTGAAATGAGGCCATGAATAAGAAGGCATAAACAGAATAATGACGGTTTACGAAACCCAGCTATCGAAATGAGCTGGCGGAGTCTTTAACAGGACCACACTAGGGCCTACAATTCTCTTTCGTTCCCGACGTAAGACATTGAAAAGTTTTCTAGCGATGCCGACAGTAAGTAAGTGTTATTGAAACCGGCGCGATCAACTGTCCCGCTATAGCAGCAGCATTATTCTATCTGTACGAAACAGCCGTGCTGAAAACTGTCCATTTTTAGATTAGCAATGCTATCTCCAGAACATTGTTGTCCAGTTTATACACCGGACATGGCAAGTTTCTTGCGGCCTGTGATTGAAAATTTATATAACCAGAACTATGATATTTTTATGCGTAACATAGTGATGGTATTGTTAAAAAATTATTGATTAAATAATCAATGTTAAAAGTATTGTGCGCACCAGGCCCGTTAAAGGACACTACTGGAAGTCAGCAATTGAAAATTACTTACTGGCCACGATAAATACACGGCACGGCACTGACAATATTCCCTTTTCCGGCATCCAACAACTGCACGGTGCGAAGAGTATATCCTGTAGGAGTTTGTATAGCCGGCCGATGTTCCGGCGGTCAAAAGGACGATTACAACTATCAGAACGGATCGCTGTCGGTTAGCATGCGTCCTTTAGCATACTGACCGATAGCGATCCGTTTTGGTGGTTGTGAATCCGTTGAACACCGCATCACGATTAGCGTCAGGCCGTTTAACGGATTCCTAATTGCCAGTGATCCTAGACTGGTCTGGCAGTAGGCACCGCCATAAGTCCGAAACAGGCAGAAGCCGAATTGCAGCCTATCGTAAACAGGAAATCGTGCCATACTTGCAGGCTACAGGTGCTCCAAGTTATGGCACGGTCTTCGGTTTATGATGGTCACTAATGTCGCATCAGACAAAGTACTCCGAGAGGAATACGCACCGAAAAATTCCTCCCGAACAAATACCAGGAAACATTCAGGCGGAGGTTCTGCATTCGGAGAGAAACGGTACGCAGGGATGTTAAACAGCGGCCTCATACTAATCCCTTGCAAACATCCGATGTCTCATTTCGATGGGATCCGATAAGCCGATGTTTGAAACCCACATCCCATCCTAAGATTTTGGTTGCCAACAAGATTAAATTAACGCTGGCCAAACTGTTTTCGCTGCCAATGGAGGGGATGCCTTAACCACATAGAAACACTCGAAAACACTGATGATCAGCAACATCACCACGGGGATGCCAAGATTGGTCCACCAGTCGTTACTAACGATCTTGTTTGGCATTAATATTCACTGCCGCTGCGCCGCATTCTCCGATGCCTGAATAATGACTTACTACTACAGAATCAGATACTGGCAAAATTAATACGATAACGTGCCAGTAACTTGATGCTAGAGGCAGGTTGCTGCATCGAAGCGGAAGCAAAATGGTTACACACGGCTAACTTTATTCGCGCACCCATTGTTAACCGGTGCTGTACTGGTGTGATGGGTTGATGGCAGTGAAGCGGCGCGTCGTAAAACTTATTCTGATGGCAAATTGCTGATTCTGACAGTTGTGTGTCAGCCTGTCTGGCTTTCATGGACAGCGACCGTATCGCGAGCCTTCCTGTCATTTTAAAATGCAGATGAAAAGTTTTATACGAGTAATTCTCTCCTGAATCCTGATCATAGTGGCCATGCAAAACTTACCGCATCAGGTGTCATGCCGGCAGTCCGCACCTCAGCAGAGTGCAGCCAACCATGCCAATAAATTATGCGCGCAAATTGTGAAGTGAATTTTGTGATATAGTCGTTGACGGATAACAATCATTATTACAATATGTCGACCGGCGCACTGTATGCACGGCTACAGTATATAGTACTTTTTCCTGAGATGCACATAGCGCAGCGCGAATCGGGGATTCTGTTGGCGCTTGATTTGTGAACGTTCTATAAATGGTGGCAGGTCACGGCGGTTATTCAGCGCATACACGATAGAAACCGATTGATAAAACAAATCCAGTACCGGAAAATCAAGACCAGAAATACTACGAGTAATTTTGCAGTACTAGTAATTTTAGTAAGTAATTGTGCAGTGGCGAAATTTCAGCGACTTGTGCCAGCAACATTAGGGAATGCATGCCGGTCTGCGTGATGCCATTTGTTTGCTAACGAAGACTGTGATTTCGATGCAGAGTACAGACAACGCCGCACGCTACGGCCACGGCAGACTGGATCGACCCAGCACAGCCAATAAAGTCATGGAGAGCATATTTTCCGCTAGGCCGCGCCGCCGGGCTCATCGACGTTTCGTGGACTAACACTTCGACCCTCCTGACGGTCAACATTATGTCGGTCGACGAAGTGTTAGTCGACGAAACGGAGACAAGCACTTCGTCGACCGACATATATAATGTTGACCGTCAGGAGGGCGACGGCTAAGAAAATTAAGAAAACACGCTAAATTAAGAAAACATGCTAAGACTAAGGAATCTAAGAAGCTAAGAAAAATAAGAAACCTACAAAACCTTAGAAACTTAAGAAAACTGAAACGGTTTGGCAAAACGGCAGCTTGACTTTCTAACGGGTCAACACCGTGTCTGTTCGACGAAGTGACGGACGGTGAATTTTCATCCACGAAAAGGTGGGTCATCCTCATTTTCGTCCACGCGTTTTATCCGAGCCGATTAGCGTAGGTCGCTGCGATATTTACAGCACACAATTCTTTGATAAAATCTTTGCCGTCGAGTTTTCCATTTCCAGCACGCATCAGCATAGTAAAAAAAATCTTCTATGGTGAATTCGGTTATAGTCTTCCTGTCACTTTTCCATATAAAAATCTCCCACGGCTCTCACGGAATTAATGCAGGGTCGTTCTTACGGTTAGGTTGTGTTATGTGATGTACAATGTAGAACAACAGTACAACAATGAGAAGAAAAATTGCAAATGAAACAAAACTAGTTTCTGGATTACTTACTGTTACGATTTTTTGTCGCAACAGTTCGGGCGAAGAGTTGCACTTGGCGTAAAAGAGTTATACACCACCTATATGCAGTTATACAAAATGATCATTTGGAGTTTATTTTACGCACGGGTTTAGTATGCACGTCGGGCATGACTTATAATGTATTCAAGGGAAATGAATGCGTTATTGATAAGGGCTAAAAGCCTCCTCGCATTACGAATTATGCTTCTAGTGGCGCGCCTTATAGTCAAAAAAGAAGCTGGTTTAGAAATTTTAGATGCAGTGACTTCGTGAATCATATCTGTGGGAAAGGCAGTTACATACAGCTACCTCGTGCGGTTGCAACTTAACAAAGCTTGCTTCGATTATAATATGAGATGCCCCCCATGTTTTCCGTCTGTATCGCCCAAAGCTCTCGTGCATTAATAGCGGCAGGTTTACGTGTGAAGATACGAAAAATGCATCTGCATGCGGCAACCAAGTACGTATAAGTTTAACAATTCACCTGGATGTAAAGCGCCGGTGCCTTACCTCCGCAGCTGGCATTAAGCTATACCATGAGTTGTTTTGGAAATTAATGATTGCTTTTACGCTGTACGTACCTGCTCGCTATCCTAGTCATATTATGCGTATCATGACATTTTGTCGATAGCCATAATTTATCGCCATAATAAGAGGGAAACTTTCGCAACTTTCGCAGAAACGCGCATTTTCCATTTCCAACAGAACTTACAGAAAAAGGCAAAAACCGGAATCGTTGTTCTCGGTTGTGGATGGCAAAATTTAACTGAATATCTCCAGAAATTGTTTGGCAAAAGATCTCAATAAAAGTGGATGAATGAGCGGAATTAATGGGGGATCAGAAGAAATGGACCATCAGCAGGCGCGAATAAGGTAAATTACAGCGTAGTATGGTGGCATGTTGTTGTGAGCACGGTTATTGCCATTCGTGGACGTATATGGCGAATTCGTAAATTGTTAACCGTTACTCTCTGTACTCAAATATTCTTGCTTGACGTACGTTCATGCCCAACTGTCGTGTTCGTTGCTGTCCTAGCAACTACTGTTTTACTTCATACGTCTTCCTGTTATATTCCTGTCATTCTACCTGCTGCGCAGTTACTGTTCACAACAATAATTATGTAGTATTAATTAACTATTAAAGTATTACTTATACAATACTTCACATTGGCGTGAAGAATTCGAATTCATGCTTACTAAATTCTCCTACGACTACACTCTACGGTCATAATCTGCCATGGGAGGGATCCGATGCCGATTCCGCATGCACTCGCCTGGCAGACTGCCACCGCCTCACACCTGTTCGGCAGCGGATGCTCTGCCACCCTTTTCCCCACGATGCTGGTGGATATTATTTACGGCTGGTACCGCTCTGCCAGTACCATAGCGCTACCAACGGATCTTCGTTCCGTGTAGTTGCCTGAACATGCATCGCCAAACTGCTCAACGTAATGCCAATCGTCCTTCTGGATGATCTGGATGGAGCGAATTCTTCGTTAACGCCCTGATGACCTTGCAGAGCGCTGTTTCGCACTACACGTCATTTTCGGGAATTTCCATTCAGTTGCTGTTGGTTGTTGTCATGGGCTGCGTTCACCATTGTTCTGTGCAGCGTTTGCTCTGCATCCCAGTAATTCCGTACAATACGTATCCTTGTTTACCTCCTTCCGTAATCCACAGAGCAACCCGAACGCGTTATGTACGAATGTACAGTACGTCCTGTCCTGGAGTACAATACACAGTATCGTACAATGTTACACCGATATTCGAGCCGACTACGCAATGGTTAAATCCTTCGTATGGCGCCTTACACTTTGAGTTCGAATAAACTTGCTACTACGGTTCGTATGGTTTACACCGCATTTCCTGCACTTGGATGATGCGATGAATTTCAACTCGCATTCCTGTTACCGTTCCAGTTCGGTTGCCTGGATCCGTGATCGTACTCCTACATGCACTTTACAATGCAGTGCAATACTTTAATTTATACGGATTAATTCTTATACTTGCTTATACGGTTTCGCTAATACGCTACTTAATTACAAGTGCTTACCTATTTCTAAATTCTATGCAAGTTCTTTTCTACCTCCTGTACGTACAAATTACAATTCCGTATCACTTTCGATACGTGGGGACGAGTTGTCGTGTTCGTTGCTGTCCTAGCAACTACTGTTTTACTTCATACGTCTTCCTGTTATATTCCTGTCATTCTACCTGCTGCGCAGTTACTGTTCACAACAATAATTATGTAGTATTAATTAACTATTAAAGTATTACTTATTGCCATTCGTGGACGTATATGGCGAATTCGTAAATTGTTAACCGTTACTCTCTGTACTCAAATATTCTTGCTTGACGTACGTACATGCCCAACTGTCTAAACTAAGTCTAAAAGCATACATACTACATAGAACTTAAATTCTAAAAAATCAATAAATTTTACCCAATACTCATCTACTACGATAGTATGTATAACTATTTTAGGGTATTGAAGATGTCAAAAAGATGGCATAGTGGCGAGGTGGCACGACATTCCTTGTCAGCGCACGCACGACATTATATTACGTGTATGAGTATAACCTAAAACAGGCTCTATGATTAGTCGCTTGAGATTATTGTTATAATAATATTTTGTACTTACAGTTCATACTTCGTTGCTGCACACTAGTATTTGTAGTCACAATAGCGTATCGCGACAATTTGTCGATAACAATAATTTACTGCCATTGAGCATTGGTAAGAGGGATAAGCACGGCAACGCTGTTACACCGTGTCTGATGTTATTTGGAATGATTTTCGGCACAGCTACTGGCCAAACTGGTAGAACTCACACTGGTAAGCACACATAGAACTCGTGCTCTCCAGTCCCGAGCAAGACGTGTACAGAGCAAAGTGGTATAAGAACCCTCCAATACTTGGATAAGTTTCTTGTATGCCGGATGACATCCTATCGTTGACAGGGACCACAGGATTTACACAGATTCACACATGCCACACATCTGCTGAGGTCTCAAAATGGTATGTCCTAATGACACTGTATATCAATTAATCAGGTTATTGCTATTCAACATTTAACGGTATGTACAGTCAAAACAATAAAAGTTAAACGCCACCACATATAGAAAAATCGTAAGTAATTTTGAAGCAAAACATTAGCCTATATCAAATATAAATATTCCTTTGCTATTATACATAAAAAAATATCTTTACTGGAAAATATTGTTAAGAGGGTATACCACGTAAAAAATAATGAAAAACGTTGTTAGCATTTTTTTGCATTCTAAAGTTGACTAATAATTATTGGCGTAAACAATTCGAGATTTATTAAGCGGGATGTATTTAGTTCAGGCTAAAAGTGCCAGTTAGCTCCGCGGTATTTGGTTGACCCTTTGTCTTATAGAAAAAGTTATGCAAAAGAAACGGTCTGTTAACGAGAGGTTTTCTATTAAACTGAATCCTATTTCTAGACAAAAGATGGTCTCAGTCTCCAGCATGATGAGTGGAAAACGAGAGATGCCGGGATCTCCAGGCTGCCCGTCGGCTTAACAGCTCCAGACACCGGTCAGGATGGTCGCGTGCCGAATCGCACACGATGGAGCCACAAAGCAGAATTTGTGCTGGCCTGTCTCAGTCTGTCAGTTGGTCTGGGGAATGTATGGCGCTTTCCTTATATCGGTACGAATCTGTTATTGCCTATCGGCCTTCTGTCTCTGCTGAAGCATCCCTACGTTTCCTGCTTACAGCGTATGCCAACGGCGGAGGAGCCTTCTTGCTACCCTATTTAATCTTACTGCTCCTCTGCGGCAAACCGATGTATTTTATGGAAATAGCCTTTGGTCAGTACCACCAAGAGGGACCGGTGACCATCTGGAAGCGAGTGTCGCCGATTGCAAAGGGCATCGGCATTGGGCAGGTGGTTATCCAGCTTCTGACGGCCATGTACTACCGTAAGCAGACATAAAGCACGTTTGTACTGGAGAACAGAGAGGAATAATCACAGAAGGAATTTTAAATGTTCTGCTTCCAGTTATCATCATGGCATGGACAATGTATTACTTCTGGTAAACCTACTAAGCTGATGGTTAGCAATTTAGGATCCTTGCAAACGGCATGATACAAATTAAGACAAAAACAGTAGATGCTTTATCTTAACGTATGATGAACAGATGAGCTCTTTTACTTTTCAAACCCAGCGCCGGCGATTTATGCGCACATGATGTGTTCGTGCTGCACGAATTTGACTTATATCTAATTATCAGTTTACACTGCGCGATTTTCATACCGCGGAACATTTAAGAATTCAACATTATTAAGTTTTTTCCAAACATTTTAGCTGTTTTTTTAAAAATAACACTTCCTCCGCAATTTAGTACTCTCTACTCATATAAATGCTTTTGTGTTAGGACGACATTGGCTGCCGCTTGTCAAGGGCGACCAGTGCCGTGGAGCGGTGATTTCTGCACTTCACCATGGGCTAACGAAGACTCCTGTATCGTTCTACAGAAAGCTCCCGAAATCAACGCTACTGATATTCCAGTTGTCAGTTTTGATACCAATGAGGCGCGCAGTTTTAAGCGCTTTTCTTCGGCACAGCAGTATTTCGATCGGGTCATCCTTATGCGTTATGAGCAAGGTGGGAACGAATCTACAAAATTCGGCCTCAAAACCAGTATGGGTGGCATCAACTGGTTCCTAACGGCCAATCTCGCTGGTGTTTCGCTACTGGTCTTTCTGTCATTGGTCAAGGTATGCCAACGCTAACTGCATATGTCACAAATCAAAAAGACTTGCAATTTTTACGAAGCCTTGCTACATCACTGAAAGGGTTTTTGTTTTCTAGGGCATTAAATCAGCGGGAAAGGTATTTCTTCACTTTCGTTTCAGTATGCCACTCTTTTATTTACAAAATTGACTCGGTAAAGGTTGTATATGTCACCTCAACTCTACCATTCATTGTGCTCATTATCCTTCTCGGAATAGGTAAGTGGAAATGCGTACGTTTATGTCACATGTTGTTTAAATAATCGTATGAGCATTTGCCACAGAATATGCGATTAAGCGAAAAATGTGTGTTGCTAACATCATGACAAACTGAAATAAGCGTTCCACTAATTGTGCGGTAGATCTCGTAACCTGCTTCACTAATCATCAGTACTCGTATTCAAGATATTTAGTGAAACTGATTTTACAGGAGTTGCGCAAGAAAACTCAGTAGAGGGAATACTCTACTTCATTACACCCCAGTTCAGCAAACTACTAAAGATTAATGTAACTCGCTATTATCAATGATTACGGCTATTATGTCTACAGATACGCACTTTACTTCTTTAGACATGGCGAGATGCTGCTGAGCAAATGTTTTACTCACTGTCCGTTGGTTTTGGATCGTTGGTAACGTTGGGTAAGATAATTACGTGTACGAACGAGGGGATTCTACGATTACTATTACTCTGACTATCGTTCAGGTTCGTACAACCAGAGGAACAACAATTGTTACCAGTAAGTGCACCAAATTACCGTATGTTAGTATTTTTTAATTTTTATGTACATGATATGGTAGCGCGAACGTGGTTACAGATAATTAGCAAATTAAAACAGACCCTGATGTTTGTTAACAGGGACGCTCTGATTGTCTCCATTGCGGACACATTAACCAGTATCACAGCCGGTCTCAGCCTGTTCGCTATTCTGGGTTATCTGGCGGCAGCCACAGATTCCCGTATTGAATCTGTAGCTGTTTCTGGACCAGGGCTGGCATTCGTGACCTTTCCTGAAGCGGCCAGTTTGATGTGGGGATCTCATTTCTGGGCAATACTTTTCTTCCTTATGTATGCAACATAACTTTCCTAAATTCGAATCCAACGTTTTATTCTACATTGTGCTCGCAACGCCGTTAATGCAATACCAAAACACCGTAAAATGTTTCTTTTACCTTTGTTAATTTGTGTTTTCAGGTTGTTCACTCTCGGTTTAGGTATGTTCATAATGATCTTAGCTCATGTTTATAGCAAAAGTAACACCTGTCCTGCTGTCTTAAAGCAATACATAACATACTTTTGTAAAACAAACCAAAAGTTTTCCGAATGTAAATGGATAGCGGGAAGCCTGAATATTGGAAACGTTCTCCTACAAGACTGCTGCTAGTTTATTCCTTATTTCGCAACGGTGATTTTTCGTAACTGTTGAAATAGTTACTGATTATTTTACAGGCTCTCAAATTGGTACTTTGGAGACCGTGCTGACTGTATTTTACGATCGATGGCCATCACTACGAGCGAAAAAGCCACTGATGTGTGGGATATTTTGTTTTGGGTGCTTCATCTTGGGACTTCCCTTTATGCTGCAGGTGTAGTAATAATAATTAATAAGCCATATCAGCTTCATTACCACTCCGCGATGTTGAAGAAATTCCAGTTACATACAAGTGTGTATTATGTATTAAGCCGATGGTTTTATAAACATTTGCACTGCATTTATAAACACCGATTTACCATTTGCATTGCTAATTTAGCGTAGCTACGATTTCCATGTGATTTTTGAGATCTGCTATTTTATTCACTCTCTTTAGATTAGTTCACTGTGAGTTTTCGCTAATGAACGAGTATTTAAGAATACGTATTTTGTTATACGTATACTTTTATTAAAAGGGTGGTCTTGACCTTTTCGACATCATCGATTCCTACGCCGGTGGATTCAGTGTGCTTTTCACCGCATTTTTTGAGGTTGTAATTATTATGTGGGTGTATGGTCTTAGCCGGTTCATTGATGACCTCAAAGATATGCTTGGCAAGCGAGGAGACGTTGGCTATTACTGGAGGTAAGGGTTTTAACATTATATTTTATTTCATTGAAACGCGGTAACATCACAGTTATAAACAGGTAATCATAAAAACAAAATTTCGTTTAATGACGCCGCTCCTTCCATTGTTCCGAGCACGGAAGCGGCGTTTCCTCGCTGGATTTCCAGTGACAGTCGCTGGCGGAGAAATTCGTGCGAGCGTGGCTCTCCCGTGTGCTGCTGAAGCCGCTTGCCAATTTCTTTCACTAAACGGGTAGCTGACTTTCCCCATGGGCCAAGTGTTTCGAAAGCCAGCGGTGCGAAAATGTATCTACCGTCCAGATACAAATAAAATCGCACTTTCTTCTCTTCCGCTTGTGCGGCAGCGGATCCTGCTGTCGTTGATGTTGATCGTAGGTGTGACACAGCGACAGTGTCCACACATGTCACGTCCCATGCCAAGCACATCCCGCGTTTCCAAGCGAAGGTGGTGCAACCATCTGGACGTCTATCTGACGTGTGGGAAGTTCCCCGGGGTTCCACTTTGGCGGGGATGCCTGCTGATACCAACGCTCTACACACAATACTGTTTAAGCCACCGTGGCGAGCATGTCTTCCGGCCGAAAAAGAGCAGGATAAGCCGTGATGGCCGTACACGTCGACCGGCTTGTTGCATTTAGCGCACAGATGAGGCTCACAGATTGCAGCTCCCAGTCTCAGCCCGATCGATATCATTACGGTGTCATCGTCGAGAAGATTACCGATATGCGCGGAGGGCAAGGCATTCAGCCATAACCCGGCTTCTGGAGTCGACTGACCCAGGAGTCGAGCCCTATTTACTTCGTCATGGCGGAAAACGTCCAGAAGTGTCGATAGCGATGCATTACACAGCGGTAAATCCCAGGACCGTTGTAACTTCCGAAAGTTAGGCTCGGGAAGATCAGTGAGGCGCGCGTTCGCTTTCCACAATTCCAAGGCAGCGGAAGTGTCAACGGGGGGTGACCAGGTAGCAGCTTAGACATTAAATCGGACGCGGAGTGAATCGATGCCAAATAGGCAGGGAGTGCTAATTCCTCCGCTCGACGGATGCCTATGCCACCTCTGCTCACTGGTAGTGTCGCCTGCCGCCAGCACGGGTAGTCGTCATGGTTGGTACGTACATTGCACAGGGACTGAAAGCAGCTGCGCATAACTTCGTCCAGTTGGTACAACTGTTGCGGTTGTTTCCAGGCGTTGCAACAACGGAGCATGTAGACAATTTTGGGAGCTCCTAGACAGCTTTTCAGGAGAAAAAGAGCGTGATGTCGTGGTAAGAGTGCCAAACGCTCGCATGCTATCTTCAGGGTGGAGGATTTCTCGGCAACTGTTGGCCCAATGGCTCCATCTAGAACCGGTGCTCCTAACAGCATAAAATCAGCGTTTGCAAGGATGCGAAGTTTCGGGTATTTCTGCAGAAAGTCTGCAATGATGTCACTCCGTGCTTTTTCCGTTCCCCCGGAAACGTATAGCTCGCACTTTGCTTCGTTTACCACGAGGCCAATGGCGCGTGCTCTTGCTGTAACCTGGTCGAAGGCATGCGCTACATCCGCTGGCTTGCCGCCCAGGGTTCCGTCGTCGAGAAACCACGCGTTTAGATCAACATTTAGGGAGTCCACGATTGGCTGAAGTGCAAGGCAAAACAGCAATGGGCCCAGCGGATCTCCCTGCTGCACTCCCGACTCGGATGACATTATTAGCTGTTCGATGAAGAGACAAGAATGACTACCATATGCAGATCGAAAAAATGCGCTGTATTCCGGTAAATGGCGTTCCACTGCGGCTAGAATAGTCTCTCTGGAAACGGTATTGAAAGCGTTTTTAAAATCAATCTTCAACACTGCTGTTGGCTCCAGTGGCGAAGATTCCGCAAAAGCTCTGGCAGCGTGCACAATGGCTTCAGCGCCGCCCCGTACATTGAATCCGAGCTGCTGGGGCGTCAAAACAGGAGTTATGCGATCAGCCACTCGGTGGCATATGATCTTGGCTGAAAGGCGGCGCAGCGTAAGTCCTACCGCTATCGGGCGGAGGCCGCCATCTTTTTTTCTGAGGGCGAGCAATTTGCCACCGAAAAATATCGGTCGGATCTCGGCTGGGATTTTTCCACTGACCGACAAATTTAACACAGCGGCAAGCGCTTCACATAACGGGCTGCTGTGTTCGTTCAACTTGTGACCAACCATGTCCAGAAGGTGCTGCGGGCGTAAGCCATCTGGACCTGCAGCTGAGCCGCGGGGGAAAGTGTGGACCGCGGAAAACACTTCTGCCGCTGTGATAGGTGGCGCTGCGTCTGCGGGCGGAGCGAGCGGAGCCGTTGTTGGGGGCGGTGGGCATTCTGGATGTTTCTCCCGCAGCTCCTGTAGCACAACGGGGGAAGGGGCTACAACGGCGTCAGTTGAAAGAATTAGGCGCATGGCTCCAGAAATGCTGCCGTCGTCAATTTTTTGTCCGACACGGCGTACCAAGTCATCTTCGGCAGATTTCTTCTTAGGGGCGGGCGGGGGCGGTGTCGGGGGCAGTTCGGTTCCCCGATCGTAGGCGCCCACATTCCGTTTCACAATTGTCGCCAGAGATTCGGTCCGGTCTGACTTGGCTTTGGGCGGAGCACGGAGCGCGGTAGGGGCAAAGGAGAACAGCTTTTCCCAGGAGGACTTGTCATTCTTGATGGCGACCTGCTGCAGCGCCGTCCTAAGTGAGTCCCTTGCCGTGGTACGGGCTCCGTGAGGAATGCGACGCATTACTCGCTCCTTCGACGGCTTAAAGCTTTCCGTCGATGGCGGCGTAGGGGCTGCTCCTGCGGAATTGTCAGCGGCACCCGGAGTAGCAGGAGAGGACGGAGAGTCGGCTGGGCGCAGTGGACACTTCTTCTTATGTCTCGTGAGGCCTCCTCCTCTGCAATACAGTTTCTTGCAGTAGGGACAGGGGACTTTCTCGTTGCTCATTGTGTAAAACGGTCATATGGAGAGCGACTAACCTGATTAGTCCTGAAACGAGCAGGATGCTTGGAGGACCGGGTCGCTGCAAGCAACGAATCCCGAAGCGTGCAAACGGGTCCCCTTCTGCGGCGCAGCCCCCGAGCAACGTTTACATCCTCCAAGCCACCCTTCAGACCAAGAGGGTTCCTTCCCCGATTTGGTCGGTGTAGGGAAATTAAACACCAGAATGAGCACAGAATACGGATCCCAACTTAGACATAATTATCGTTTTATCAGACGGGTAAAGTTCTTAATTGCTTTTTTTTTATAGTAGATTAGTAGTAAATCGGCACTAGTGCTGAGTGCTGAGTAGGGTTTTAACCCAGATTAAGCAGACAAGCGCTCCTCTGTATGAGCCCAGCGCTGGCGGTCCATGCACATGTTCCCTTTGCTCACTATTTGATGATTTTACTATTTTACTAAAATCGCAAACCGACTGTCCAATTTGCACGCGTTTAGTTCTGTATTTGTAATCGAAGTACAAATTTTAATGTTGTGCAAACCAACTTCCGTATTTCAGTATAATTTTGTAGTTTGTTTGTATGTTTTGATGTGGAAGATTGATTATTACCTATATTGTGGTAACTTATTGTGGCACATATGTTTTCAGAACCACTTGGGGCTTCCTGGCGCCACTGACTTTATTCGTGAGTTATAAACTGGTTGCAAAATCAGAACTCGAACATTGCAGATCTGATGTCGTGGTGGCGGTTACCGCATAATTTTCGTCATGATTTCAGTTTATTCTGGTTCTTTCATTTATCTTCTATGCGCCACTTAATCACGGCGATACGCTGCCCGAATGGGCCGATTTCCTTGGATGGGGACTCGCTCTGTCCTCCATTATACAGATTCCCGCCTTTGCCGTTGTTGTAGTATGGCAGACGCCGGGAAGAACGTTCTCTGAGGTATGATAATAACGGTTCGCAAATTGGCACTACCCCAGTCGTAAGCTGAACTCTGGATATTTAACGTTGCAGAAATTACACGAAGCTATGTGGCCGCGGGAATTTTTGCAGAACAAGACGACCGTTTCACCGAATGAAATACCTTTGTCGGAAATGCAAACGGCTAAGTATTTTGACAATAAACGCTTGGAACAGTAGTGTGATCGCGCCAACCGGGGATTCATTTAAACTGTGGGAAGGAAGCAGCAGAGAGAACTTCATTCTACCCAGGGCGTATAACATAAACCGAATTTCAGAATGCGTCTGTTGCCATCGTCCAAAATTGGATGTTAGTTGGTTGGATTAAAATAAGAAAGCGATGCACAATGTTGGTTAAAACCAAGAGCTACGAGACAATTTCTCTTAAATAGCGAGAAAATTTGCAGAGACAAACTGCGGATGGCAGTAAATAACCGTTCGGCAGGCGTGTATCGGTGATTTAGGTAAACAGCGTGATGCTAAGGCATCCCGTTATGACACTGGTTACCATTAGAACCGCCAAATGCTTCCCTCGTGCGTCCATCGTCTGCCTGACCGGGTCTGGTTATGTTGCAAGTTTCCGAATTGTTTGACTCGGTATGCAGACTAGATCCACCGATCTCCTGCAAAGAAAAATTAAACCAAATTACGTTTAAACTTAAATGGAACTGCTAAGCAAAATTACAGTACATCTTAGGCTGAGAAAACATTCTACGTTATTATACTGTCACTGCTTTGTTTATTTCTAATGTCGTGCATTCACCGGAACCATCGGATGGGTGCCGCCGTTGCCAGTTAAACGAGCGTCTACATGCCGCATTATCATCTCAAGAACAATAGACCAGATGCGCATAGGCGCTTCGGGGACTTACTTACAACGCTTTTCACCCTTTACATACAGACATCGAACGCAAAACCGCGCCCGTTTACGCGTCTTGCATGTATGTATGTACGGGCTAAACTCGACCGCATGCGCACAACAGTCAGCACATACAGACTGACAGTTAATATGCGTGCTGTGCTGACATTATGCTTCTAACGATAAACTGTAGCACTACATTTCTAAAAGTTAAACAATGACATATAAGTTGATATAACCTGTTTAAAAGTAGCAAAACAAGGCGCGCTAAGGTACTGCTATGCAGTATTATTTTAAGCTAAAATAAACAAAAAAATACAACAAGATATACTAAAAATACTTCTGGGTAGCCAGATCACAGCGGGAACCCGCCACACGGTCAAGCAAAACATACAATTCTCTGTCAAAATATACGGACGAAAAACCAAAAATGGGGTTGTCCAGGAGTATAAATCGTAGTCGGATTTCCACATCCGATCAGGAATTCAAGCACAGAATGCACTGCAATCAACACCCACAGCTGGGTAGCCAGCGCGCAGGGTTCCCTGCGATACGACGGCAGTAATACATGACAAGTATACCACAAATCGTTAGAGACAGCCACAAGGATTCATGGACCTTTTGGCAAGTCGGAATCAATTTGTAATACGCTAGTCAGCTGCGGTGGGATTCAAATTAATTTAAATTGAACGATAATCAGGTAGCAAGCGATCAGTATAAACAGGAGTGCATCTGGCCAAACACTATACTGCACCGTCTTATCTGGATTCCCAGAACACAGGCTTCCCTGCACTGTAGATGCATATCAGTTTCATATTTCTGATTTCAACAACAAACTAGAAGGCAAGAACTTAAAAAACTTAAAAAAAGACGGAAAACCCTGTCGTTTTACTGTTTAACCGTCGCTGTCAGCCCAAAGTATGGAGAAACGATCACGTGGTTTTGAATTTTGCTATTGGCGGTGGGCAGCCTCGATCTAACTCAGAATGCTGACCCACCATTAAAAATCGCGGAAACACGAAGTTTGTAAGTACCTGGGCGTCGCTTAGACCCGTTACAAGGTACGCCCATGTTGGTAACGGTTTTCGTCGACGCCTAACGACAGACATCGAGCAAAAAGCGACTTACATCGAAGCCCAGCCAATTGGGACTTGGTACGCCTATTTCTCGTTTCGATGTAAGTCGCAGATGCTCGATGTAAGTCCGCGTTTTGACTCTGCGCATCTTCTGGAATATCCGACAATTTCCGCTTCCTTTGACGAGTTGATCCAATACAGCCGTTATCAACCTGTTACATCAGTACTGTGCATTTGGATTGAACTGCAGTAACTGTTAATATAAGCCTTTATGGGTATCCTGCATTACCTTCTTCCGGTCGTTTTCGACGTACTGCCAGAGCAGGGATAAAAGCACCAGAAAAAGTACCACTAGCAATATAATACTAAAGGCTATTCCTGCCGCCACACCTTCCGAAAAGCCTGCAAAGTAATTGGCAAAATTCAGGAAAACCTTGAGCTCGAAATGGAGAAATACCGCTGTCTTACTGGATTTCCCCAAGACACTGGGTAAGGTGTGTGTATTACACACGCTGCAGCACTGAATGATACACAGTCACTGTGTATCATTCAGTGCTGCAGCGCCAAAACAAATTATTCAGTTTCTGTGGTTATGCAGTACATAAAATGCCAGGTTATGGGATTACACTGCATAGTTTCCGGATAAAGGATGTAGCTCTTGGCCTGCTGGTGAATGTTGACAATAACCGAGTCATTTCCCGGATTCAGGTAACCTTTCCGCTGTGCACACTTTAGCAAATTATTGGCGGCCTTAGCGGCCGCGTACGTTAGCGCTCTGTAGCCATCGCCTGCAGTAAAGATACGCAGTAATAAGGACTGATATTGAAACGCACACTGTTTTTGAGTTTATCGCGAAAACTATGTTGGTATTGTGCGTACCGGTTGTGGGAATATTTTCAATGAAGGCGGTAACGATGCTCTGGTCGTTGTAATCTCGATGGTAATCGGCTCGCCGATCCCAGCCGCGTCCTTCGAAAACACTGCCGTCCATTCCGATGAGGAAGCTGTGTATATTAATGCCGGGTAACTTTGGGTTCCGTTTAAATTATAACCAGCAAAATTTTTCCTACGTACTTGTAGAAGATTTCGGGTACAAAGTTAGCTGAGGTTTGTGCCGTCCACGTCGTAGTATCCGTGTGGAAGTCCCGGATGGCGGTAACCACCGCCCGACACATGTCGAATTCCGTACAAGCTTCTCCCTTGGTGTCGGTGTATACCATGGACCGTACCGGATGGAGCAGATACGGAATACTGGCGTTTAGAGCCGGTGCGCCCCAGTCAGAGCGTGTGGTTATGTTGATGCCTGGACAGTCCATGCTGCTTGATGCTCTGTGTTTACTAGAACATTCACTGGCAATTTTTGCTGCATCAGCGTAATATTGACTACTACGCTGCGAAAGAGCGTTAATAATTTGTGCTGACAACTGGACTATTAGGGCAAACAAATACCGAGGATGCAACGTGGTGTGCCCGTAGTTATCAAAGGTTCCGCTTGGTTATCAAAGTATGTCGCTGGACTGTTTGTTCAGTGAGGTATCATCGTGCACATGTAACCGCGGCATCGGCTTCCGCACCTTTGTGCAAATATTTTGGCTGCTTCTTATCTGAGTTTCACCAGTTACCTAAATTCTACGCTACGCAGTTACCTAATTTCAACAAGAGCGGCTAATGCAGAAAATAAATACCAGACAACCGGTGTTGCAGTTAACGGGAGTAGTTCAGATTGACTTACGTACAAGCCACCGCGCTGATGCTATTTAACGATAATGCTGATAGTACTACCCATTCAAAGCCCTTTGCACAATAACTGAATTAATTTTCTTGATGTAACCACTAAACCATTTACAGGTGGTTTATTTCAAACATGACGACGCGCTGCTCAGAAGTGGATATCATCTCGCGCTCTGCATGGGGCGCCCGTCCTGCCCGCGTGGCAAATATGACAAAGCTACCACAGCCCGCCAACGGTATGGTGTTCACGCATTCGTTTGGCGACGCCTGCTATGATGCCCGCAACTGCTCCCTGATCACGCAGCCCATGCAAAACTATCATATGGAGACTAACGAAATTTCCGACGTTGCTTACAAGTAAGTTGTTTGGGTCGTCCACACTTTGTACTTTTTATTAGAAATATAAGGCGCATTAAAATTCAGTCTACACTAAGAGTCAGTCTACCGTGAGACCTTCAGATGTACGTAGTATTCAATTTCAGTAAACCAAGGGTTGACAGCAACATCAGAAAAACAGTCAAATCCAAAAATTTGACATGTATTTCGGTAGCAGTCGATTTCCTGCTTCCTAGCTGGCTTGATGTAGTAACATGAAAGGATCAGAGCTGAAAACCGGAATTGAAGGAGAAAGTTCCGACGCTGCCCGGTTTGGCGACTTAAAGCACATTTTATTTATCTTGGAGAACTTCAAAAATTCCCATTATTTTCCATTCTGATTTTTTTTACCAGAACACAGCAAACAGGACTGTGCGAGAAAAGCGAACGTGACAAAAGAAGCGAGTAGTCAATTTATTATGCTAATCCTTGCTACTGTGAAAGGATAGGACGTACCTTGCACCTATAGTAGCTTGTGCGCCCAAAACACAATGGGCATAGCGTGTCATTGTCGGACCAGTGGAAGCCGCCAGTATAGTCCGGAAGACTGGTTTACGTAACGTAAACCTTTCTGTCTTTCTTCTTTGATCGTAACCAACAAACGTTTCTGCCGGCTATAATCGCAATAGCATAAACAACGCTGGGGTTAACTGCAGGTAGAACTGCAAGTTTACCAATTCCTTCTGCTCAATTTGCAATATTTTTGTCGCAGTTTCTTGATTGGCTACGATGGGTCAGTACTTGAAGGACGAGGATGGTTATATCGACCGGCTTTACATAAAAAGTACAATGCGTTCAACTTTGGAGTGGCGTTCATTGGTAAATATCCGCCGTCGGGAGACTACTTCACGAAAATGCCGTATCGGCTAATGCTCTGATTCAGTGCGCCCAATCACAAGGCTGGTTAAATCGGAACAATCACTCCGTGGTGACATTTCGGATTAATCCCATCATGCGAAACTATATAACAAATCCCCGCCTGTTATTACGTAGGTGTTTTCTGTAGTGCAATGCATTTTCGCGATTTCATGATGGTTCGCTGCTTGTGATTCTAGCACCGCCCGTGATACCATCACCACCCATAGAACCACAAGGTTTGATGGAATGTTGCCGCCGTCAAAGCGGGCAAAGTTTGAGAGAAAATTATGCATTTAGTTGTTTCTTATATATGTTTTCGTTCTTATTTATGGTTCTTTTACATTTGAAACAAGGTTTCAACATTGATTTTAGCGAGTGTGCAGCGAAGCATGTTGAAATGTTTTACAACGGAAAATATTTGTTAAAATAATAAATGCAATAAACTCTTACTAAAAAAAAATTCATGGAATCACATAAAACTTGACATAAATCCATAATAAATATATTCAAAAGGAACGGAAAAATTGGAAATCTTGAACATTTTGACGCCCTAGTTAAAGCAAAAACTTTCGCACAAATATGATTATTATTGTTGTTTGAACAAATTTTTATTTTATTATTTCGAAGTTGTGAATTCCATTTGACCCCATTTTCGATAAATTTTTGTATTTTGTATTGTTAAATAGCATTTCGCGATGGGTTTATCGCCGGATCGATAATGGCGCTGCTAATCGGTGTGATCCTGTTAGGTATCGTTTACTGGCGGGGAAAAGAACAGCGAAAAAGGTTCAAGGTGTGTTTGTTAGCTCCATCGGTCCAGTACTAACACGTTTTCACCCCTTTCTGATGCTATCGCAGCACTTCTGCCGCGCTACCGACTATACTATCGCAACGAACTGCAGAAAACTATTCCAGCGGAAACAGTTGATCACTTTCTGATACCGCGACGTTCCATCGATATAAGTAACCAGGAAAAGAACGCTAACGACAAACGTCATTCTGTGCTTACGATGCGATTTAGTGTGATTGTATTTTGTAGAAAACGAACACTTAGGGAGCGGCCGCGATGGCCATGTTTTCATGGGATCCATGCAGTGCAAAGACATACGGCGCGCTAGTTGGTCATCCACGGGCACATCGGGTTCATGGCCCGTGGCGGTGAAGATGCTACGGGATTTCCCTCGGAACCAGTCAGCGACTAACGCATTTCTGTCCGAAATGGCCGTTCTGATGAAAGTCGGACGACATAGCAACATAGTCAGCTTAGAGGGCGTGGTTCTGCAAAGTGCACCTAACCATTCTGACACTGGCCAATGGAACCAAAAAGCCAGTCTTATAATGGTATTTTACAGGAAAACTAATGATGGTTATGGAGCACTGCGAACTACGATCCTTGGAGTCATATCTATACACTATGCGAACCTCTACAGGACCTTTACAATCCGAATCGTCCAGTGAAGACCCCATTTCCAAAATTGCTCCACAAGAACTGGTCAGTTTCGTCTACCAGATTAGTCGGGGCATGGAGTTCCTCGCCAGTAAAAGCGTCATACATCGCGATCTGGCCGCTCGCAATGTGCTGTTGGATGCGCAGAAGGTTGCCAAGATCGCCGATTTCGGGATGGCAAAGGAGCAACCTATCTACACACTAGAACGCGATAAAGTAACCACAGATATAAGGTTTTGCACTCGAAGACCCATCTGCAACGCGCGACCTGTCGTTTACAGCGCGAACAACAACTAAAGTGCTGTGACCTTTAGGTTCCTCTGCCTGTCCGTGGGTTAGCGCCTGAATGTCTGCAGCCAATCGTGCCATCTTTTCCACTGCCAGCGATATGTGGTCCTTTGGCGTACTGGTCTGGGAGATTTTCACACTCGGTGCAGAGCCGTACGCTATGGAATTCCCCAATGGTATCTGGTACGATCAGCTGTGTGCATTTCTTCGAGATGGCACACGCCTGAACCTTCCTGAACGATGTCCCACCGAAATGTACGTGACTGTTGCTACAAATACGAGCGTATCCTGCATCGTTTCTTTCAGACGTCAAACGACCCTGGAATGTTGGGAGTTTTGGTCGGAACGGCGTCCCGATTTTTCCACGATTCGTAATCGTGTGGAACCTCTTGTGCCAATGATCGCAAAGTACATCGCTTGTGATGCGGCGATCGGGGCGCCAAATTGATGGTCTCGCAAATCCCATGAGGCTTGAGGCTCTGATAAGCGAAGGACTATTATTAACTTAGTGGATGACCTTAGCACAGTCGGCAGTTAGAACTTAGACCTATCTTTATAAACGTGTAAGGTAACCCCGCAACTCTCGGATGGCTGGTTGTCTGAGATTATCTTCGCAACAGAAACATAGCCTACTGCGAGAGAATGGAGAGCGTCCAGACGTTGTTCCCATTGCATGCGAGACATGCACTTGGTGTGATGTTACAGTACCTTTGTTAAAGAAAATGGGTAAGAAACTGTTCATTAGAACGGGCGAGAGCCGCTCCACTTGTTTTTTGTTTCAATGTTTAAGTTTGGAGATTATGCGTGGTAAAGCTATGAGCGTATTGTGCACAGTTCTTTCTCGTGCAAATTGGGATAGGTTCCTCATTTGATCGGATTTACTGAGCCGTGTTCACTGTTGTCCATATTGTGAAATAAATGAATATAAGCCTACTGGCATATACTGTTTCTGCTGCAACGCCCACATTTTCTGCTTCCGGTGTATGCCAACGGCGGAGGAGCTTTTGTGTTGCCTTATTTGAGCCTACTGCTCGTTGCAGCAAGTCGATGTATATGATGGAAAGAGCATTTGGTCAGCACTATCAATGAGGGGTCGGTGGCCATATGGCATTGAACAAATGGTCATCCAGTTTCTGATGGCCATGTGCTATCGCAAGCAGACGCAAAGCACAGCTGAACTGGTGAAGAATAGTAGCAGAATTCAGAATTTCTGTATGCCCTGTATTGCTTCTAGTTACCATTGTGGCATGGACAATGCATGATTTCTGATAAGCTAATGGTTAGGGTCCTTACGAAAGGCATAATACATACTACCCTAGGGAAAACGCAGTAGATGTTTTGTATTAGGTGTTACTATGTCTAACTGCTGGTGTAGAACCACAAATGCACATGTTCATGGAGGGTGGAACACACTGAACAACAAGTTGTGTAAGCAAACAAACGCAAAACAGCGCCCGCACACACGCAGGTATGCCTCCAAACCCCCAAAGGTCTGCGCTGCTGCCACCGCCAGTAACTGCCTGCTGCAAATCCTGCACTGCGCTGCCGCAAAAGTCTGCTGCCAAGTTACCTGCCCCGCGGTTTCTTTAGGTTTTATAATATCACACTGAGCCACCTCACGGTGGCTCAGTGGTCATGGTCATGCCATACGGACAGCAAGCGAGAGGTACGGAGTTCAATCCCCGCTCTGGTCGAATATTTTGCAAAAAGGGTGTCGCTGGATGACCATCTGGAGGGTACAGTCAGCATCAGCGCTGACCGTACTGAGTGGCGTGTACGTTTCTTCGACGTCTGGGCTTGAACAGATCCTCCATGGTTCAACTCGTTCGTCGCATCAGGATAAAGCACCCGCGCTCCATTTTCTCACTCAACTACGGATACGGGCCATCATACGGCCAAACGATACGGATCTTGTTGTCTAAGGCGTTTATTCTGCGTGCTTTATACACGTTTATGTCAGTGCTTAGCCATTGTCTATTGTGCCAGTGCATGGGTCTAATAATGCTTGCAATTCTGAGCTGTAGTGTGTCATATGCCTTCTGTAGCGGATTTGGTAATGAGCGTGTGTTGTGTTCGGCCAGGTTTAAATTCCCATGCTGTGTATGCAAAACACAGCAGGTTTATGGGTTACCTGCTACCGAGATGAAACTATTAAACACATAAACAGAAAAACAATGGATTACTCGCTGGATGCCTGCTGCAATGTTCCGCGCTATCCTATCTGTTGCGCTATCCGGTCAGTGCCGAAAAATGAGAACAAAATTTCAGCGGCGAGCGAATTTGTGGGATCAATAAGGAGGAAACGATTCTTTTTGCCTTTTGAAAAGACGCACTGAAAAACCAAAAGAAAGGGGCAGCGCTTTCTCTTGGCCGGTGGCTGGCAGAGAAAGACTTGACCGGTCCCAAAGGTAATTACCGTCATAGTGCTTCGCGTTATCGAGACTAAATTCCTTGGGCATGTTGTGCACAACACTTTACAGAACGTGTATACTTAATGATAATCGAACATTATGGTACTATTAATACCTTACTTTACACTGTTTACAGTTAATATTGTATCTCCGCTCACGCTTCGCCAGGCCAGAATGCAGACTGGTTTGTTGCTGATTTCTTTACAGTACATCTTTGATTTACCGCAGTGCTACCCGAAATGCCGACTACGCCTACGTAGTGCTATAAGCATTATTGTACACCGATGTACGGTATGAGCGGTCTGCGTAATTTCATCGAGCACAATACAGCAAGCTGAAACTTGCTTGAAGCAAAAACTGGAGCTGCTATGAAATTTATTTTCTAGTGACACAAACAGTTGCATAACAGCATTCTCCACCAAAAGCTGGACGGTTGCTTTTCAGCGATCTGCATGTAGCATATCGCATGCCCACGATATAGACCGGTTTTCTACCGACAGGCACACTGCTGCGCTCGTCTACGATTTTGTTAAGCTATGCACTGTTTTCAGATAATTGTGGCCTTATGCGCTCTGTTCCTCGTTGCTGCCTTTTGGGACGACAGAGATTACCACGACGATTGGGACGATGATGCAGAGCAGCTGCCTGACGGTAACAAATCGTAATACCAAAGAAGCGTAATTAAATCTGCTCAGAACTGAGACGACACAGATGAAAATAGTAATTAATGAGAATTTAAGTTTTGTGCGTCGGATATTAGGAGTCTTGTGAGTGAGATTTAGAGATAGTAGCAGACAGCAGAAAAGGTCACAAGGATGACCATATTTGCTCAGTACTGTCTGTCAATGCCAGCCATTCACATAGGTAAGCACGGCATATACTACAAATACACGTTGGACCGACGTTTTAGCCGACGCAACCTTTGAACTGAAGTAATTTTCTTTCCACCTTTCCAAACTATCGCATTCTGATGAAGAATTCAGTTCCTGATAAGTGTTCCGTTGACAAAATTTTCAAACTAGCACGATGAAGCGCTTATTCAAATGTGGAAAAATCTTCTCATATTTGGCCTGATAAAAAACAGCAATGTTGTGCTACGAAACATTAAGCTAGTCGGTGTGCTAACATTTCCAATAACTGCTGAATAGTTAATTATTACATAGTAATTTAAATGAACATTTCTCTACGAACCACGCTGTCGAACGCATTTTGTAGACTGGGAAAGTCGTATCGATCCTGACACCATGCAAACTCATCTGTCCAATCTGGACCGTCGTAACGTTCTTGGTGATGACATCCTGTTTGCTGACGCAGGCATTGGCTCTGGTGCAGGAAACTTCTCAGGTATCAATTAACTGGTGTTCAGTAATGTACTCTGTACACCAATTTAAGCAAATACAGTAGTTAAGCAACCAAAGGTAGAGTAAGGAAGGTATTTTGCTTCTAGAGTAGCTGTTAAAGCTATCAAAACAACTCGTAGTCAGCTGCTCCGCTAGTTTGTGCACAGAGTGATAATATTTTGCAGGAGCGAGAAACCTTACGTTATGGAAAAATGCGAAAGTTCCTTATGAGATCAACAGAGCATTTGGTAAGCGTGCAACTTTGCAGTGATGCAGCATAATCCGGTCCACTGAAGCACTAGTCCTTTACTCTTGCACTGGGCAGTGCTGTGCACAATAATTATGCATAGGAACGGCTGCGCCGAGCAGGTCCTCGGGGGTCTTTTGGTCGTGATGCGTTTCGCCATAGACCGAAGGCCATGGGGGGTATCCGTCGTGACAGGTGAGCCAGTCGCCGGCAGGACATTTATATTGAACTTTAAAAGAATTTCGCACACCAGAGGCTATCATACAAATATAACGGCTGTCCTTGGGATTTCAGCGAAGGGAGGGCGATTAGATGAAGTCGTAGTTTGTTTGTTTAATCAGTTTAATCAGCAGCGGAAATAAATCTCAGAAAATGGCTCTGTGACGGAATCGAACCACCGGCTACCGAGTGTGATCCACGTAGCACAGCCACTGTACGGTGACAGAGCCGCAATGTTAACAGACATCAAGATAGTCGTGCTTGAGCTTGAACGAACCAGGCAGACGCGGTCACATGGTGGTTGTCATAAGCGCAGGACTTATCTGTTCTGATATTCGCCTAGCAAATAACCATAAACTCTTCGTTAATTTCCCTGCTCCCAAAAGTCGCGCGAATCGGCGCGACCAAATCTCAAGTGGCGAAACGGTTTGGTGACAAGTAGTCGCAAAACAGAATGTCGCAGCCCACTTGGGTTGTCGCCAAAGCAACGGAAGACGCTACTACGCACATGAACTTTGATGTTGCTATTGAGAGGACGACGCGGAACGTCGTCCGAGAAAGGGGAATGTTGGGCGTTGTGAGCTATTGGGCTACGTTATGAAAGCTGGAGAGTACACGGGATCGTGGTGATTTTTATTAAAATTTAATAAACACTTCGTAACGCTGTAAAAACCGACCAACTGAAGAACTGCCCTTCCAAGTCGCATAACACGCGCCAAACTGATCAGCTTTTGTGTCGGGTGAGTAAGCTGGTTAGCCTGTAACGGGGGTTTGGTCTGAGATGCTGATTGGCCTGCAATTGTCTGGTACAGAGTTATGCAAAGCTGATTGTTCCGCGGTTGAGTTTGTATATATGCGTACGGGATTTTGATTTTTCCACGTAAAAAGGGAGGAAAAAGGGAATTTGAGTCGCGCCAACGGCACAAGGCCATCGGGCAGATTTTGATTATCCTGACCACTTAGCAAGCGTGCCTGTCACTATACCACATAGTACAATCTCCAAGAACAATTTATTTTATAAACTACAGCAGCGAACATGGGATATTAACAAATGTCAACTTTTTTCAGCACGTTTAGCAAAAGGCACGGGCTTACACTGACATAATCATAATGAAAAGTCCATTTCAATTACTGTAACTGTCACGTCTTCACAAAGTCATTAATTCACTCGGCTCTTCACAGCACATACTGGCAGCGTATTATGCTGCTGCTGTTCACAATACTATACGTTGCTATGTCACATCATCACACCTTCCCCAGTGTGTGAAACACACTAAAGAAAATGCACGATAACTGAACATAAAATTCCAGAATTATCACCAAATTAATCAGAAAATAAATCCAAAATATCATCGGTATCTTTCAGTGCTTCCTTCTTTTTCCGTTTCTTCTCCCGCTTCATTTGGCTGCGAGTCTTAACCAGTACACTGCTTGAAACCGTTCCCATTTCCTTCTCGGATACGCTTCCGATTGGCGGGATATCATTTTCTGGCTGTTCGATACTGACCCCGTCAGTGTTTCCGCCATCGCTGACTGCCACCACGCTTTGCTGAACGTCGCAGTCTTCTGCCATGTCGATCGCCGCTAGTTCCTCTACGCTCCGGTTCTGCTCCGGCTGATAACGCCGATGCTCCACCGGTCTCCAATATCGCGGAGTCGCTTCTGTGCTCCGTCGTGTCATTTCGTCCACCTTTATACGCAAGGCAGCCAACTCGCCCAGCACAGTATCCAGAACAGCATCTCCGTCCTTGCTGCACCTCCAAGGGCGGCTGCTGGCTCGCCTGGTATAGCTAGGCCGACGTTTAACCATACAGTCAAAATCATCATCCCCATTAACCTGTAGCACATCGAACTCTTCTGCAATCAGATTGGTGCGCCGTGCACCATCCCTCTGCTGTTCTTTCTCCTTCGGATCGGCGCGACAGGCCCTGGCAATGTGGCCTAACTTACCACAATTGCTGCACCGCAATTCTTTTGCCCAACATTCGGCCTTGCGGTGGTCGCGCTCTCCGCATCCGTAACAGCACCCACCATTATATGGCCATCGCGGCGTCTCGCTTCCCCCTTCGTGGTCTCGCTCCCCACTGCCGCTCCTGCCGCGGCGGTTTTCATCTTGACCTTCTCGCCATTTCGGCCTTTCTCCACGGCCAGTAGGTCCATGACCTTTACTCGGGCCACGCCCATCACGAACTCGAGCCACATCTACCGCCTCCGTGGTCTTTTTCGTCTCCCGGGCGAGCTCATACAGCTCGCAAATTTCCAAGCACTCCTCCAGCTTGGTGCGGGATTTAGACATCAGGTGCAGTCTTGTGTTCTCGCTTGCCAGTCCGTTCGTGAACGCGGCCATCATGTTTTGCTCCAACACCGTCGCCGGAAACCCCACCACCGTGGGCTTTCGACGTAGTCTGTTTGAGAACTCAAGGAGCGTCTCTCCAGGTTCCTGCTTAATCCTAAAGTATAACGCCCACTCCGTCTCCTTCAGCGTTTTCTTCACAAACGCTTGCTCCAGTTTATCTGCCAGCTGGCCAGCGGTGAAATCGTCCGGACTGCCAGGCAGACACATAGAAATAAGGATTTCCAGCGCCTCCACGCCTAAGGCGTCCAGCAGCACCGCTTTTTGCTCGGCCAAGTCCGTGACCTTGTGCAGTGCTACATAGTTTTTGTATCGATACTGCCAGGATCGCCAGGTCATTGCGGCTGGCTCAAATCTCATCAATCCACCAGTGTCCTCCTTTCTTCCTCCCGACAGCATGGCTGCGCCACTTCCCGAAGGCATAACCACACTGTTCGTAAACACTTTTTCACTCTAAACGGCAACGAGCTCGATTCCTCACGCCAGATTGTCACGTCTTCACAAAGTCACAGCACATACTGGCAGCGTATTATGCTGCTGCTGTTCACAATACTATACGTTGCTATGTCACATCATCACAGTAACATTAGACGGAAGTTACGGATCAATTCTAAAAATACTTTAAGGATTACCGCGTTGAATCTCGAGGCCAAAATACGGAAAATGAAGCAAACAATTATTCACTAAAGCAATTAATAAAATTTAATTATTTCTTTATTCGCAGGCGCACAGGATAGATTCATCATTGAGCAGGCCATGCGGATAATCGAACGCAAAACCTTTCAATGTGTGACCTTCAAGCTGCGAGAGAAAGAGACGGATTACATTGAATTTAAACCTGGGGACAAGTAAGTTGATATACTTCTATGCGCACTAACGGAAGTGTTAGTGAGTGACAGCAAGAACGTATCCGGTGGTTATGTGGGAGTTTAGTTTGAATAACGCTTGAATTGAAAAAGTTCAATCATAAACACCCTCGCGCGCCGGTCGCGAAGTGAGCGGCCAGAACTGCGCAAAGTTTTCAAGTAATGCGTAAAACTTTAGTGTTCGCTATTAATTTCCAAACCACTGCAACGCACAAAGCTCCCGCGTGAGTGTGAAACGATGCGAAGTTATGAATAGATTACTAATCGATGTATGAACTAAATGTAGTAATTACTCGTCGTGATTTCGACCTTACTTTGTACACAAAAAATGCTGTTTTTTCTCCGTAGCTGTTCGTCTTGCGTTGGCGTTTGCGACGGCATGCAGCCCATATTTCTGGATCGTGCACAATGTATGCAGCTAGGCACCGTTCAGCACGAGATCCTGCATGCCCTTGGCCTTTACCACGAGCACAGCCGCAGTGATCGCAACAGTAGTGTGATCGTCTACGACGACGAAATACTGGACAGTCATAAAGCCAATTTCCGTGTTATTCCGCAGATGCCCACCTTTGGAACGGCCTACGATCTGGACTCCATAATGCACTATGGACCGTACGACTTTGCCCGCAGCATCAACCGACCGACGATGATCCCCCGTGCCGACGGGGCCAACTATCGCATGGGCCAACGCAACGGACTAAGTGTCCGGGATGTGGCGAAGCTGCGCAATGCCTACAAATGCCAGGTTGAGGAGCGAGAAGGGCGCAGCGAGCCTCTGTCGTTCCCGGGGTTCTCAGGGGAACCCATGACACAGGAACAGTGCGGCCTGCAGTTCGGGCGACATTGTTACGCGAGCCAAAGCACGCCAGCTAACTGCAGTGCCATGCTTTCGCTGGAGATCACGTGCGATGATGCGGTGAGCATCAGCGAAGTGCAGCAAATGACCGCGGCGATGGCGGCGCCGCCACTGCGATATGTGCAGATCACAGTAGTGGAACATGTTGTGACCACCGATGCGCTGTCGGCCGTGGCGCAGCAAACCGTTGCCCTAACGGCAATGCGTTGTTACATACGCGATCCCACCGCCAAACTCCCGCTTTTTTCGTTTACCAATCTCCTGTTGTATCACTTAATGCAGTGCATAGATATCCGCATCAAAAGATCCGATTTTCAGTTTCTGCCCAAGCTGAAAGCGGTACTGTTTACCAATGTGACCATCCTGTACTTAGAAGAAGGTACCTTTACAGCATTACCAGATTTGCAGATATTGGCCTGGCACAAAGACCTGCCACGGCACTTTGGGGTCCTTAGTGCAAGCAATTCATCAGTCGACAAAGACCATGATGATCAGGAGCTGGGGATGGCGCGACAAGCATATCTGCAACGTCTGCACTGTGATTGCGAACTCGCCTGGCTGCGCAGATGGCTGCAACACAATACCAAGCTCCGACGTAGCGCTGCTCCATATGAACTTTTCTGGTTGTCCGATGGTCTGACCAACATAAAAGTCTCCGCGACCGATGTCTATATACCAATTAACTGCGCAGTGCAACCTTTTCCTTCCGACTTGACCATGATTAACCTCACTCAAACCGCGTTCTCTATCAACGAGCCCCGCTGCGCGACGAATGTCCATAACCGCACCTACGATAGCTTGAAGCTGCGACGCACTTTTTCCTCCGCCCCCCTCGATCCCGTGCAGTGTCTAACGCAGTTCAGCAAAACCTGCCGAGCGGTCATTGTTCCGTACGCGACCATGGATGCTATTAGTGTATTTCTCTTAACCTACTGTTTAAACCAGAAGGATTTGACCGGTGCCCGACAGCATCTACAGATTAACTGCTGTGGTAACGATACCACCATCAGGGAGCTACAGGACATGACCTTTGCCATGGCCCGACCGCCGTTACGCCGTGTGGATCTGCTTCTGACGGACGGGGACCATATCGTGTACCGAGCTTTTGCTCCCATCATCACTCAGGTCTTCAATATGCATCTCTTCGACTGCAAGGATCAGCGGCCCACAGCTAAACTGTCGCAGTTGGGATTTGGCAGTTTGATCCAGTTCACGCTAACCAACTGTCGGGATCTGGTTGTGCGCGCCGCGGATTTTGTGCGGGTTCCAAATATCCGTGTGATGCTGTTCCTGTCGTCAACCGTCAGCGATATCACCCCGTCCAGCTTCAGCTCTCTGCCTGCATTGCGGGTGCTGTCGGTGGAGTACAAACTGAACTATGTACTGCCGGATATGGGCCCGCACTTTCGCCAATATCTGCATAAACTGCACTGTGATTGCCAGTTTGCACCTTTCCGAGACTGGCTACAATCGCAGATAATCCAGTCTCTGGAGATCTGGCATGACGATGTTATTTATGGTGATACTAATCGGACTTTGCAGGCACTGTGTTCCAGTGCAGTACCGCAAACCGGGCGGGTTATTGTTCCTCTGGATCTTGATGAACGCTCGCACCACGTTGCAGGTCAATATCTCTGTCTGGACAAAGCAGAACTGTACCTGCCTTTTGACTGCTCCGCTATCAAAGACCCCGACATGCCTCTACCGATAAATTTCGACCAGCATAATTTCTCTGTCAACGTCCCGGCCTGTAACAATAGCACAATGCCTCGGTGTGCATTGTTGGATTCCGATACCGCCAACTGCTTTTCCGGGAGTGAAGAGGAAGGGAAAAGGGGTAATCTGGAAGTAACTAACAAAAGCGTTAAGACGAAAGATGGCTCTCCTTACTTGCTGGGCCAGATCTATATTAAAATGTTTTCCAAATTTTAAAATTTATTTTAGAATTCAATATCGTGCCAAAACTTCGAGCCATGGTTTCGTGTCAAAACACTTGAGCAAATTTTGAAAATTTTTGGTTTACACATAACAGGACCTTAGTGCATCGGTATGTTATACCTTTGAAATTTTACTTCAGCTACAGAGTAGGTCCTGCCAACCCGATGCAGCGCGCATGTAGCCGGCAGGAATGTTGACGGGTTGATGGTTGATGATCAGTGAAGGTCATCAAGTTTTCTCTAAGGGTCATACGTGAACCCACTCAACCCAGTGGACAGCAAACTGAGCAAAGCTCTCAGAGATGCACTGGTCAAGGAAAGCAGCAAAAGAACTTTACTGCCGGCCAGTGCCAGCCATAACGCATGCAACCGCAGGAAGGTGGACGCTCAATTAAATTGCATCCATTTTCCTGCCGAAGTCCGGCAGAAAGTAGGCGACCTATCCACCTTTCTGCGGATTTCATCCATCTTCCTGCCGAAATCAGGCAGAATGGTGTACGACTTAACCACTGATCTGCGGAACCAATTCTTCGCCGTCGATTGATCTAACAATGACGCCATGGACTGCATTCAAACCCATTGTGAAATCAATGAATGCCGTCGGTATTGTTCATACAGAATGGGAATGGTTTTATATAAAACCACCTGATCAACTTTTTAAAGGGCAAATACTTGGTAGTATTTTGAAACCAAAAGTTTCTGAGTCTAATAAAAACTGCGAGCAAGTCTTTGAAAAGTGAATTATCTCTGATTTACTTCGTTCGTCACAATTAGCAGCTTGTTCGTACCAAAATACTTTTAAATGTGCTCTACCTTTTTGAATGTACATTGTACATTTGTTAGTTCTATCTAGGACTGAATCAGAAGAAAGGGTGTGAGATACAGAGATAACCAGCTAGCTACAGAGATAACGAGGCTACAGAGATAACGAGGCTACAGAGATAACCAGCTAGCTACGGTAGCTGAACAGCGTTGTGATTAGTATGCTCGTTGTATGATTTTACTTATGTCGAACATTTAATTTAACGAAAGTGCAATGCGCCCGGAAAATTCTTGGCGCGTAGTCAAATGGGTTTTTATTTACTAACAGAGCGCACAAATCTTCCTACAACAACGATTATTATTCCCACAACAGAACTAAACGTTTCCATAAACTAGGGGATTAGCAACTTAATTTTTCCTCTGATCCACTTAATTTTTCCTCTGATGCACATATCTTTTATTTTGGAATTTTTAACAGTTATATGTGTACAACAAGCGTAAAATACGAGGAGATGATGGTAGCGCATTTCAGTAATCCCCTGTATTGCTGCCGTCACTCGCCTGGAGTGTGACGTTACGGCAGCACATATGGCTAAATCTGGCGTGGTACATAAGCACCATGTTTAGCCATAACGTCAAACTCCAGCCGACTTACGGCAGCTAGTACAGGGAGTGCTGAAATGCGCTACCGTCGTCCCCTCGTATTTGTTCGCTAAAATTAGAAGTCCTCGTGCTGCATGTTATTTGCGAACAGAAATGCCTTTGTGTAAATTTACGGGCAGTTATCCGCACCAGGAATGAGTTATAAATTCAAAAACAATTTTGAAAATCTGGTAACAACAGTCTTTGAGCTTTGGGATGGGAAAAACATCTAGTCAGTACTAATGCTGTTTTTTTAAACGCGCCCAGTGCAACCGAAAGTCTAAAATTCAGATTCAGTTGGTTCAGATAATATTCAGATGGTGTACAATGCAAGTTGCCAGCCTTCCGGGCAAATTTCCGGGCGCATAGCAAACTGACTACGCACCAGGGATTTTTGTGGCGCAGAGAATGACCTTAATTTAAACCTTGATTATAAACTATTAAACTTGAACCTTGATTATAAACAATTAAACTTGGAGAAAAATACGAGGAGGATGCAAGTAGAGTGATGCATCCACCTTTATGTAAAGGTCATCAATCTTTCTTTAAAGGTCATCAACCTGTCTGTGAAGGTAATCGCCTTTATATATCCGTCATGGAGACAGCCAGCTGACTAGCTTAACGGCGACGTGACTGCTATGCTCCTCGTCGACCTCTAAAGTTTAATTCAATATGCGTACAGAGGGTGATTTCGCAATATGCTTCCACTTTCTTTATGAATTTATTGCCATCCTCTCCGTGCATATTTTATTTTTAAAGCCGTTAAGTTGGAAAGCCCTTTCTTTTAGCAATCATAACAAATTAATTGTAAGAAATAGAAAACAATTCAGACTACGGTGGGTCCGGGTGGGATTTTGCAAACCGACAAGGGTCTGTCTGTGCGCAACACTGTAACAATTCGCAGAACGTTTTCCAATGCTTTCCATTAAAAATTTGCTAAAAAATAGTCATCAATTTACAATCTATGGGTGCCAGGTTTAGTAAACTTTTACATCATGTGGCCTTCAGAAAACATCTGGCTTCGTGAGAGTCTAGGCACTGGTACGTTGTGTTAGCTTTGTGAACTGGGAGATAGCCATTTTGACTGTTCCCCTTGCGTTCCTCCCCGGGCTGCAAATCCAGGTTGCTTTTTCTGAGAAGTTTTTTAAGCGAATTTTCAGTATAGGCATCTACGGTGGTTTTAACACTGGGAGGGACCACATGCACTGCATTATTGTCCCGGTAAATAATTTCGGAAAAAAAAACATCATTCGTTTTCGTTTTTTACCAAATTTTGATTTTTTGTTATTACGATACTTAAAAGTGGCAGCACGGAATTTTGTATCTCCCGTCCGAATAAAGAAGCTGCATCTGCGCCTCACCGATTGCGAAGGTCTATGTCAAATTTCAGAAAATAAGGAAAGTGGCAAAAAGATTTCCTCGTCAAAAATTTGTTTCAGTTTAGAAAACTGGGCGTTCCGCTTTAAAATCACTTTTGAGTGCCATTTACTTCGCTTTTAGAATTTCAACTAACAATGAATTATCAAGCACGTATTGAAGTATTTTTAAGCGACAAGAAGTGAAGGAAGGAACAAGGGGGAGAATTACTGCAACTTTGTGTCCATGCTGGAAGCATATTGCGAAACCACCCTCTGTAAATTAAGAACCTGTCAGGAGATGGAAAACGAGGGGTACGAGAGATGTGAGAAATGTGATCGGCGTATCTACACGATTGCATCCTCCACCTTTCTTCCGAGGCAGTGACGGCTTGTACTGATCTCATATTGGGCCTGAATGCACTCATTGGCGTCATTATTTGATACATCGGCGCCGACAGGTTGGTTCAACAGGAAGGTGGACTAGCCGTTAATGTCTGCCAGACTGGCAGAAAGGTAGATGCAATTTCACTGAACGTCCACCTTTCACCAATTTACCTTCTTGCCAGTTTCAAACGCACATTTGAAGACAGAAAATTGGAAAACCCGGGCAGAGATTCTGCAGTTTAGCGATTCGTTTTTAGACCTATCCAACGCATGCGTTTCGGCCCTTTTGCGGGTCAGCTGATATCAATAACAAACACGGATAGCAGTGTAAGAAGAGATGGCGACATCTCTTCTAGTGTGCACGAATTTTTATTATTAGGTTGTTTTATCCTCGTAAAAAATTCATGGACTGCCGAAAACGTGGATGAGGTTCAACAAAAATGCATGAGCACATTGCAAAAATGTGAATGACTTTTGCCAGAAACGTGTATGACCTTCAGGAAAAGGTTGATGATCTAAAGAGAAAAGTTGCTAGCGTTTGGCAGAAAGTTGATGACGTTTAGAGAAAGGTTTATGACCTGTGGCAAAACGATTGATGACCCTCATTGATCATCAACCATCAACCCGCCACCATCCAGCCGGTTACACGTGCACAATTCGTTTTTTGCACCCGGGGTTAAAATAGTATGTGCGACTATTCTCTATAGATCGGCGAAAGTAGTATCTTAAAAGATCCCTTATACGGGTGCAATGGGATTAGCCGATAACGATAAGCGTAGGAAAAAGTTTGTTGGCGCTTACCCAGCACGAAAACTTACGCGTTTGGGTACCTTTGCAAAATCTAGTCTTCATCAAAAGCCTTATATGTCCAGGTTTTACAACAGCTCTTAATCAGCCGATTATAAAAGAACGCAGATCTGAACTAACGGCTTGGGCGGTTGACGCAGCTGGTCACGCCTACCTCTACGACGATCAAGATCTACAAAACGATCCGGTCATCCACCACCGTGGCTACCTTCCGGAGAGCCGATTCTGGCCTAACCAAGGCAGAAATATCCCTTACATAATTAGCGAAGCTTTCGGTAGGCACACCAGTTGCTGTAGATGAGCGGCGGAGCCTCACAGATTGCTGATAATATTGTACAAAAATTACCTTCCTAGTTATGTCTATTTCCAAGATTAACGCCATTTTACATTTGAAGATTACTCCGACAAAGCAGAAATCGAGGATGCGCTACAGTCCATTGCATCTTACACTTCGCAGTGTATAACGTTCGCAACGCGTGATAAGGAAACAGACTGGATTGAGTTCCTGCCAGGACAAAGGTAACTGATTAATCCTTGTTTATTAATTCAACTGCTTCCCGCGGCGTAGTAATATCCTGAAGGTATGCAGAAATTGATAGAATTACAAGATCATGCGATCCAATCAGCAGTGTAAATACGTGAACGAGCGCAAGCTTGTCCGATAATTTTCGACGAATCAGTAGGAGTACAGAGGAACAGACAAATTGACGTGTTACGCCAAGCTCCATACTACGGCGCGTCATGCCACACTGTTTCTACACGTAAGATTCATTTGGCTGGCTCGTGGCTTGGTGACTGGAACAAGCCAGATAATTTATTGAGAATAATAGTAACTGTCTGGCGGAAGGTGGCTAGAAAATGATCGATGAAATAAGGCACAATTTAACTGCGGAATGTATTTAGCCAAAAAAACGATGGCCACTTCACCGGTTTATCGGGAAAATAAGCGTGGTCGAAATATAGCCATCGTTTTTAAGCGCTAAGTTTGCGCTAGCTGTACCTTAACGACAGAAATTACCGGACAAGCTTGTACATCAACAGAAAACGTCATGGAGAAACACGTACAAAACCAGTGAAACTCAAAGAGTTGGCGAAAATTGATGAAACGTACAGTCTTACCTTTACTGGAAAAGATGTGGCAGATGTACATATTGTTTTTGATAATTTGATTTAATTTACTGTATGTTGAATTGCTGTACGTATTCTTAAGTTGATTTGAATCAGAGCAGATAGTCCATTTCCATTCCCGACGGAAGTGACAACCTAGCACGAAAACCTAGCCGGAGAAAGTTTAGATTGCACTTACAACATAATGCTGAAAGACTGGCCAAAACTCTGAGAATTCCATCTAGCGCTCATCAAAAACTAAACAAAAAGCAACAGTGTGCAATGCTCCGCAAGCGGTTATCTGTGCAAAAGTGTGCAAACGTACAAATGTTATGTCAAAAGTAAGAAAGAACTTTTGGAAGAAAGAACTTTTATGTGGTCAAAACTAAGAAAGAAGTTGTAGAAGAAAGAAGTTTTCGTAGGTCAATAGTAAGAAAGAAATTTCTCCAGTCAGAAGTAAGAAAGAAATTTTTGTTATTGTTGCTGCAATGTATCGCCTTCTTTCTACATTGAAAACACATTTTACTACCGCGCACAGTACTTTGTATGCACAGTTCACAATTTGTGTGACGATTTGCTCTCCACAAAACTTTTATTCTAACCAGAACCAAAACACACCAAAACAGCTAAAAGGGTTTTTTAGCTGACAAAACCCATTTGCCCACAAACTGCTTAAAACCAGGCTTAAGTGAATTAAAAAAGGGTAAAAAGTGAAAATAATTGCGTCCGCTGAACTTGTCTATGCATGAATAAAAAAAGTACAAAATGAAGTAGCGACACATCAAGAAATGAACTACGGAAAAACAACCGTGGCACGCACAATCGAAACGTAAAAAAGATGCGGTTGTAAAAAGCGCAATTATAAAAATAAAAAGCTACTCGTACTACTCGTACTTTATTGGTAAATTAATTACAATTTACAGCAGTAATATTCACAAGAAACCTGATATTTTGATTTCGGCTTGTTATTATTGCCCCTGAATGGCAAATTTCCCGCCGTTCAGTATGGAGGGTGGCTGCGGGACCTGAGTCTGGTAGACTGGTGTTCTCCAGAGGCTGTGTGGTGGCAGCTGTCCCGCAGACATCCAGCGACCGCCAACGGAGACCCAGTAAGTTTCTCCTCCTGCTGTTTGTTTTTCTTTGATTTTTGGACACGGACTGCCGCCTTGTTTTTCGTTTTATTCTCATGGCGACAAACGGCCAGGCTCAGCTACGAAAAAAGAAGGATGGCTCTTTGGACATGCGCTTCAAAGCCTCCAAGGACCACGTGGCCAGTCAAGATGGGCAGTCCGCCTCTAAGCAGCCTTCACCTGGTGCTGATCTCCAGGAATTGCTAACCGGACCGCGCGTGAAGATATCTGCCAGGATCCCCAAAGCTGTCAAACACCTTTGTGCGTTGGAATTTCTAAAGAGAGTCCGTCGCTGTGTGCAGCAGAATGACGTGGCAACCTGGAGCGCAGTGCTGAATTTTTCTAGGTTCGCACTGGCACTACCCGAGTCAAAAGCCCTTCGAAAAGATTCTTTGAGCACTATCATCAAAAAGAATCTGCATGCGATGGAGGAGAGCATTAAAGACACCGAACGCGCCAACAGTCGACCAACTCATAAAGCGCCACGAGGAAACAAGGGAAAGAGAATGGATGATACAGAGCAACTTCGTAAACGAGTGGCGCATATGTTTCAAAACGGGCGGACCAAGGACATTGTGAAATTCCTTTCCTCTGAAGATACAGTAGCGGGGATGAACGCTGAAACCTTAGCTGCACTAAGGGATAAACATCCTCAGCGGCCGACCAACGAAAATTTTCCTACTCTCGCTGCAGTGCCACCAGTAATACCGCGTGTCTCTCCTGCGGAGTTATTGGACGCCGTTTTCAGTATGCCCGCCGGTTCTGCTGAAGGTTTTACGGGAATGAAGCCCCAACACTTGAAAGACATGCTGAACCGTAGGGATGATGTAGAAAGCGAGCTATGTTTGGCAATGACGGGCCTAATGGACATTGTACTCAACGGTAAAGTGCCAACCGAAGTGCGACCATTTCTGTTTGGAGCCAATTTGATCGCTCTAAAAAAGCCCACAGGAGGAACTCGTCCCATCGCAGTTGGCGAAGTGTTACGCAGAGTAGCTTCGAAAATCGTCAGTGCGAGGTGTCAGGAACAACTTGGTGCACTATTCCGCCCCATCCAACTGGGATATGGCACAAAAGGGGGTGCGGAGGCAATCGTGCACGCAGCGCGAAGTTACTTGGAAACGGATCACGGAGGAACACCCGTAATGGTGAAATTGGACTTAAAAAATGCCTTCAACATGATCAGTAGAAGCGTAGTGTTGGAAGAAGTGCAGGCGTTCATTCCGGCGTACCATCCTTATTTCGATCAGGCATACGCACCCGTGTCTCATCTTGCCTGTCAAGATACCGTCATCGCTTCGGAAAGCGGCGTACAGCAGGGCGATCCAGGAGGACCGTTAGCATACTGCCTGGTAACATTTCCATTGCTACGAAAGTTAAAGAGCCAATTTAAAGCCGGCTTTTTGGATGACGTAACTTTAGCGGGACTGATTGAAGAAGTAATGGCAGATATTCGAACAATAGAAGAAGAGGGGAAAAAGATTGGCCTCGTGTTAAATTACAGCAAATGTGAAGCCTTTTTCTTTGGCGGAACTGAAGAAGAGCGAGCGGCCGCCAAGCACCGTTTGGTTTGGGAACGGCCGGATTTTGAAATTTTAGAAAGCAAAAGCCTGACGCTACTGGGAGCACCTGTTAACTTAGTCGCAGTGCCAACCTTCTTGAGAGGCAAAATTCAACAGATCCAGCAATTGGTCGAAAAGCTGAAACTGTTGCCGTCCCAACAAGCACTGTACCTGCTCCGAAATTGTCTCAGCGTGCCAAAATTAATGCATACGTTGCGCAGCAGCCAGTGCTACGAACACCCCGAGGCCCTGCGGGAATTTGATAACTTATTGTGAAGCGCGGTCACTGCAATTGTTAATGCCCATATCGACGACAAGAGCTGGATACAAATGACTCTTCCGGTCGGTTGGGGAGGTCTGGGAATACGGCGGGCAGAGGAGCTAGCTTTGTCGGCGTTTATCGCTTCGGCGTCCTCGGTTTTGCCAGTGTGCCTGGAAATGCTTCCCGTCGACCGGTTATTTGGTCTAGATCAGGCTATGGAGAAGTGGGTTAAGATGTATAAGTGCGAAATGCCCCCGGAAAATTTAAGAAAGCTTCAGAAAAGCTGGGATTGGCCGGTCGTGGAACGTAAATACTCCCAGATACGCCTACAAGCGAAGGCCAGCGGTAAGCCGCAAGTAATGGCAGCACTATTAGCGGCATCTGAGAAGGAGTCAGCGGCATGGTTGCACGCGTTACCGGCAGCGTGCTTGGGAACGGTGGTAAACGACGAACAAGTTAGAGTGGCCGTAGGATTACGATTTGGCTTGCAAGTGGTGGCACCGCATGAATGCGCAGGATGTGGCTTCCAAGTAACCCCTGACGGTCACCACGGATTGTCCTGCCTGTACAGCAAAGGTAGATGGAGCCAACATACAGAATTGAACAGTATACTGGAGCGGGCATGTATAGCAGCGGGGTTTCCATGTGAGCTGGAACCCAAAGGTGTATTCAGGACAACGGAAAACGCCCGGATGGAATGACACTGGTGCCAGTGCGAGAGGGAAAGCAGCTGGTATGGGACGCCACCTTTGCAGACACGTTAGCACAATCTTACCTGATACGGTCAGCAAAGGCGGCGGGCGCAGCGGCACATCAAGCGGAAATCCGTAAACGACACAATTATCGGGGTCTGGGCGACCAGTATTGGTTTTATCCTTTTGCCGTGGAACCCCTCGGAGTGCTTGGCGAAGCAGCTAGAGAAGTGGTCAGCTTTTTCGGGCGGAAAATCAAGGACAGATCTGGAGAAAGCAGATCCACGGCATTCTTAAAGCAGCGTATTAGTCTGGCTATTATTAAAGGCAATGCGGCTGCGGTTTTAGGAACTTTATCGGGCAAGAATAAACTTGTTGATAGTACTTCGCTTACTGCCTTATATGGGCTCCCCTTATATTACTCTCCCTTATCTGGGCTCCCGGGCAATATGAGCAACCCTCTAAATCGGCGGCTACGTTATTACTCACAGTTTTGCAGCTGTTATCTAAGTGTTATGACTGAATGAAAATTTAGATTTATGTAAAATACTTATTTCGCCATTACTTTTGTAGCATTGAGTGTATTTTAATTTAATTAAGATATATATAGATAATAAGATATAATTAAAATATATATAGATAATATAAGTATATAAATATAATTCGGATGTGAAATTTCGGAATTCTTTGGTGTGCTCACTTGTAAATCCGGTTGAAAGAAGTAGAAAAGGGTTCTGCTATAAATTCGATAAATAATTTGACGGGTATTGCTCACTAGCCGGGAGCCCAGATAAGGGAGAGTAGTGTAAGGGGAGCCCATATAAGGCAGGAAGCGAAGTACTGATTTTGGGTGTTTTTTTAATTCTTGAGTGGGTAATGCTGGCCGTAGGGATTTGACTCATGACTGTTATGTCGCGACGTAAAACTAATAAATCAGTCTATACTGAAAATAAAAACAAAATCAGTGGCATATTAGAGCAAATCTCTTACGCCGGATATGCGTCTTCGTCGCTGCTTGCATCTTCAGTTTCATAACCTTGCTCCATGTTAGCCATTGCTGAGCGAATGCTACTTAATGCAAAGCTATCGCTTGGCGATTTCCAAGATGATTTCCAAACACGGGTTAAAACAGGCAGCACAGGATTTCGGCAGATTTGATTGTCAAATTCTGGGCTTAATTTGTGCAATTTATATTTTGAGAAAAACATGTTCACCCATATTTATATTAAAGAAGCAGCGGCAATGCGCTGCACACAAGAAACGGCTTAGCATCTGCAGACTTTGTGAATTGCATTGCGCACACACACGGGTGCATTGCATGTTTGCATAACGACTGTGCTATCTACGCCGGGAGAAGGCAGACCTGTGCCGCGTGCCCGTCAGCTGTACTGGTCTAGACTGGGAAAATTTTTTTGTTTTGAGGATGATCATAAGGAATCAGACCAGATCACACCTGAGTGTCACCGCAGGAATGCTTTATCCAGCATGTTATTTGCCGCTTTTGATATCGCCTTGCTTCCCGCTCTTCGGTGTACAGTGTATGCCACTATATATACTTCTACTATAACGTGCACTAGCGGTTGTATTCAGTTCATCGTTCCAGTGAGCCAGCCAGCAATACATGTACTGTACACGTCTATAAATTTAATTTTTGTTGTACATAATAAATTGGCATCGACAAAATTTCTTTCTTAATTTTGACTGGAGAAATTTCTTTCTTACTATTGACCTAAGAAAACTTCTTTCTTCCAAAAGTTCTTTTTTACTTTTGACATTGGCCCTCAAAAGGCCAAATTTTCCAAGTCTAGACCAGTACAGCTGACGGGCACGCGGGCACAAGTCTGCCCTCTCCCGGCGTAGATAGCACAATCGTTACGCAAAGATGCAATACACCTGCATGTGTGCGCAATGCAATTCATAAAGTCTGCAGATGCAAAGCCATTTAGTCACACAAATTAATAAATTGTGAACTGTGCATACTGTGCGCGGTAGTAAAATGTGTTTTTAATGTACAAAGAATGCAATACATTCCAGCCCCATAATAAAAATTTCTTTCTTACTTTTAACTGGAGAAATTTCTTTCTTACTATTGACCTAAGAAAACTTCTTTCTTCCAAAAGTTCTTTCTTACTTTTGACATGACTTGTGTACGGAATGTGATAAGCAATGCAAAATAGGGTTCAGAATTGCGAAAACGAAATTTCCCGTAAATGTATGAGTATTTTGTGCGACAAAACATACCAGTTCTCATGAGAAACGTAAAAAAACGTCGTTTACCGAATCCGCCGAAACGCAGGCTGTCGGTCAGAAGGTATAGTATTTTGGGTAAGCAGTATACCAGTTAGTGAAGTAGAAAACAGAAAACAATGAACGATACTACGAGACCAACCGCTAAATTAGTTTTCGACCTTCTTCGACAGTGTAAAAAAAAATGTACTTCCGCTTTACAACCTCAGTTGATATCATAGCACGCAAGACGCCAGTGATAGCCAGTAAAACACTTTTTAACTGGACAAAAGTATATTAAAAAAATATTCATAGTACCAAATCGCACGTGTCGTAATCATAAACCTGAATGTGGTGGCTGTGCGAGATGAGCTCTTTCAAGGTGTTCGTTCCAGAGGGATAAAGGGAGAAAATCTTTAGTTCATAAATTACTCGCACGGTCGCTCGGTTGGCCACCTGTGGTAAGTAAATGGGCGATGGGCGTTCAAAGTGGCCACCTTTTATTACAAATTCCACAAACCGATTTCCTTCCTGTTTTCTTCTTTACCCAGTTCAGCATAACGTACTCTATACATAGTATTTGGAATTTTTGAAATATCTTCAACCGTTTTCATGCAATTGCGACGTTAAAAAAACAGTGACGAAACGATTAAGCCACGCCACGCGAGCCACTGCACTACACAATGATTACTGCAGTCACCGCCTGACAGGTGCGGCTGCGCTGTCTCTGTGTAAATAACACATGTGCACAGTGAAAGTGAATATGCCTAACGAACAATTTTCAACAAATAAATAAGGGTGACATGACGCTATAGCCATCCCAAACACCCCAGTTTTTTATAGCCAAACCTTTTCCGCACCCCGTTAATTAGAGGCACCCTTTTTTAATTATTTAATTAATTTTTTAGGCTCCCTGTTTTTTATAGGCACCCCTTAAGTAAGTGCAAAACTTGTACGAGTTCTTTACACGTTAAATACGGTTTATTGCCATGGTCGCTCGATTTATAATATGGAAATTAAGCATCTTGATACGTTCACTGCATGGCTATATAAAAAGGGTGGCTATAAAAAACAGGGTGCGAAAATGGGTGGCTATAAAAAGCGGGGTGAAAAAGGGTGGCTACAGCGATTTCCAATAATTAAAGTAATCAAATTAAAAATACGTGAATGCGGTGAATCTGCATTATTCTGCGCAGCCGCACAAACGTGGCGATTACTGCAATAAACATGGCATAGTGCAGTGGCTCGCGTGGCGTGGTTTAAGTGTTTCGTCACTGTTTTTTTAACGACGCATTTGCAAGAAAACGGTTCAAGATATTTCAGAAATTCCAAATATTATGTATAGAGTACGTTATGCTGAATTGGGTAAAGAAGAAGACCGGAAGGAAATCGGTTTGTGGAATTTGTAATAAAAGGTGGCCACTTTGAACGACCATCGCCCATTCACTTACTATAGGTGGCCAACCGAACGACCGTACGGGTAGGCGATGATGCATGAAGACAACTAGCTGCGCTTTATAGATGCGAATCAAAAGTTGGAAAGCAAGGTGGGCAGCAGAATATTCAGTTGTCGCCGGCGTGCATTTTTCGAGGCGGCATTCAGCATTTAACCCTACATGCCCTGGGGTTTTTTCACGAACATCACCGGCCGGATCGTAATGCGTATTTGCAAATATATTACAATCGAACAAACCTGCTGCCAGCAGATGTCATCCTTCGTAAATTGCCGCGGATGCCCACGTACGGCGTGGAGTACGACCTGGAGTCCATTCTGCATTACGGTGCCTTTGATTTGACGGATCGCCAGCAAGCTGATCTGCCGGCATTCCTTCCTAAAACCGGTTCCCAGGGCAAACGCGTAAAGATGGGTCAGCGACGCACTTTAAGCGCTAAAGATATCGTTAAGCTCTATACGGCTTACAACTGCACGGCTAACAGCGATTCGCTGCTGGAACCAGTTCCCAATTTTATACGGAGTCCTATGTCTGCGCACGTGTGTGAGACACTGGCTTACGCAAAATGCGGAGAACCATTAACCGTCGACTGCAGCACATCCAAAACCATAAGGCTTTTGTGCAACGCTAGCACAAGCGCACGGGATTGGCAGGACACCGCAGCGACCGTAGCCAGGCTTCCCTTGCATGCGGTCTCATTATATTTGTTTGACAATATGGCGTTGTATGATGCACCGGACGCTTTCCGTCTCATTCGCCGACAAATTCTTCTTATGCATTTTATTTTCTGCAAAGACTGCTATTCCACATCCGTGTTCTCACTGTTGGGTTTCGTTAACCTGGCGAAATTAGAGCTAGAGCTGTGCTACGGGCTGATTATCAAGAAGGCTGATTTTCACGGACTGAACCGACTGCAAATTTTAATCTTTAACACCAGCACGATCAGCAGTCTTGAACTGGGCACCTTTACCAATTTACCAGCTTTGGAAGTACTAAGTCTGGAGAGCAACATCTTCGACAGAAGCCCACGCATGTTCTTCAATAACGATAGTCGCGTGGCGTTTGGACTGCGGATGGACTATCTGCACCAGCTGCACTGCAGCTGCAGGTTTGCGCAGTTTCGTCAATGGCGGAACAATAACCGGGTCCTGCGACAAGAAGTTCATAGAGGGGGGCTACACTATCTCGATGGTATCATGGTCAATGACGAATATACCAGGAAGGATTTGTACTATCCTGTGGACTGCAGCGCCGAGTCGTTTCCAATAACGGAGGCGGCGGTTAACATTTATCAACTGGAATATTCTATCAACGAGCCGCAATGTAAGATAACAGATTTGCTCTTTTCCATTGTTCTAGCGGCGTTGTCGAAGAGTCATAACGGCAGTTCATGATATTTTGCGCAAGCGCTTCGTAATAAATGTGTTTGTTCCCTTCTTGCTTATACAGGTAATACCGACGCCGATGACGTCACAACTGAGGAGGCGTGCATTATCCAGATAGAAGGCATTGGGTCTATCGAAAAGTTAGTCAAATGCGACGGTATGTCAAAAAATGTTAAACCATTAATTTGGCTACACCATTAATTATTGTTGCCAATTGAATGATGTCTTCCTGGTACAAGTGGTGTGCATGCCCGCTGACATTATTTTTCTTTCAGCAGGAAATTGTAGCTATCACCTACCGACAAATATAAGTGAATTTGCACCCCATATCAAACATGCCATACAAGGTACGATTGTTTTTCAATCCTAAACAAGTTAATTACGTTTGGATTAAGCGGTGACTATGATACTGAATAGCGGCAGCAGCCAGCAACATGCACAACGCGACACCAATTCACCATGGTTAGTACGCTCTCTCTCATTGTTCAGTGGTTTTCGATGTAACACCGTCAACTTTTGTTAGCTATGTCACCTTACGCGGCGGATTATAATCTCTTTCCAGATCGTCTGTCCACACCACCTTTGCCACGAAATGGTAATTTGTTCAACATGGTCGTTTCTTTATTTTTTTTAATGAAGCCCAAGGTTACTCTTTATTCGTCAAGCCTTCGAGGTGGTACTATACAGCAATCTTCACTGGTAACAGTGTTAAGAGAGATTCCACAAGTTTAGGAAAAAATAAAAGAGATATCTAAATTACGGGAGAGTGAATCGGGCCGGGGCACTAGTACGTTATGTGTCTTGGGTATCTTGTGGTTGTGCTGGAAGAGTTTATACATTTCCGTACTTCTCCACAGACAATGATCAAACGAGATTATCCCCGCCTACTAATCCACCACACTGGCTGTATGGCTGCATTGCGGCACTGGCTGGTGTCGGTATCTTATTCGGGATGGTCTACGCCGCGCGTCGGCGTATTTTCAGCTGCTGGCAACGACATGGGAGAGTCCGTCCTCTGGAGCACGACCATCGCGCGGTGTCGCTGTTTGGCAATGAGCAGAGTCCGTCTCATTCATTGCAATCCATTGCGTTAATTAGTCATAACCACCGCGACGCACAGGAGGGATTGGAATCGGCATCGAACATGTCGGAGTCGACTGTAATGTTGGCTGTCGAAATGAGCAGCGACGATACGCCAGAAGACTGCCGTTCGTTTTAGTCGCGTAAAAGACATCCTGATTTGATAGATGGTACCCTCATGAGCATGTAACTTGTAGCATGATTGAATGGACAGCCGGCTTCATGCATGCATTTTACGTTTTTCGAGTTTCGGCATAATTTGCTGGGATGTTCATACAAGCTTGTGCAGAAAATGGAAGTTTGTAATGGTCGGTATGGTCGGGCACTGCACATTCCAGCATGGCGGTAGATGTGGTCCAATAAATTTCTGCCCAACCAGTTTTACTAATCGTGGTTGCCGTCGTGAATACATTCCGGGGCAGGAGAAGAAAATTATTGTTATTGGTCTTAAATTGAGGCTGCTTTTGTGGTATCCACTTATCTATCAATTACTAAATCATAAAGAAGATGTTTCTTTATTTTCCAGTTTTGCTGGGTAGTCAGTGCAATACCTTTGTTTTTAAGTCCTTATGCACTGTACACTCACAGCGTTTGCTTTGGTTGGTTATGTTTTGCCGAACTATTATAGAATTGAGCGTTTTTATGGTTAGGACCATAAAAACGCCCAATGGTGTTGTTTGACAGTTGACACCCATGTCGCGGTGCCGGTGGCATCGCCTGGTTCCAAACGGTCAATCTCGCTGTTATCCTGTCGTTAGTCAAGGTATGCCAACGAAAACTGTATTTCTAACAAATAAGGTAGTTCTGGGCTTTACTAAAACTTAAATTAATATGTATAATATAACCGAAAGTGGTTTGTATTGCTTTCAGCGCATCAAATCAGCGGGAAAGGTACCTGCTTCTCCGCATCCGTTTCAATATTATACTGTTTTATTTCTACATTGACTCGGTAAATAAAGGTCGTGTATGTCGCCTCAACTCTCCCTTTCATTGTGCTCATTATTCTCCTCGGGATAGGTAAGTGAAAAATGCATAATTTAATGACTAGGCTGGATAGCTAAATACTGTATTAGTACTTACTACAGTAGTTACTACAGAACTTTAGGCTGCAGGAAACCATGTGTGCTGCTAGAAAGCTTGACAAAACGTATTACGCGCTAAAGTGTTTGTGCTGAACTCTGTAGATAAAACGCGTCAACCGTTGGCATTTAAAATATAGTATTCTTTATTAACCTGATCTTACAGGAGCTGCACAAGAAAACGCAGCGGAGGGGATAATTTACTTCATCACACCCAGTTCAGCAGACTGCTGAAAATCAATGTAACTCTTTATTGCCACTGACTACGGTTTTTATATGGATACTTTTTATACGGATATGTTTTTATATGAAGTATCCATCTTACATTTTTAGACATGGCGAGATGCTGCTGAGCAAATATTTTACTCCCTGTCCGTTGGTTTTGGATCGTTAGTAACGCTAGGTACTTTTGCAGGCGAAAGGTTTGTGCGGGTACTCATGGTCTGTTACTCAAAATAGCGTTTCAGGATCGTACAACCAAAGGAACAACAATTGTTACCAGTGAGTGTGCCTTATTACATTTCAAAAATAGTTATATAAACATTTGGTAGCGCCGATATATGCGATTAACAAACTAACATCAAAAATGGTGTTTATCAACACGAACGCTCTGGTTACTCTGGTAGTTTCCGTTGCGGACACATTAACCAGTGTCACGGCCGGTCTAAGTCTTTTCGCCATCTTGGGTTATCTGGCGGCGGCAACAGGCTCTCCTATCGAATTGGTGTGTCTCGGGCTTCATCTTCAACTGAAAACTCATATTTTAATGCTTAGGATCCCGCAAGCAAGATTTGATCAGAACTGATTATCTGGGGCATCCCAGGACTGTACGGCTAACGATTTAAGGAGGTCATCCTGCAGTTTAACAGTGCCCTCAGTCATATTGCAAAGGTCATGGAACCCTGGCGGAATTAGGGTGCAGTCTAGTATTATTTTGAAGAGCATTAAATAGCAAACAATATAAAGTTAACGTTTTCGGATTGCGGCATCAACAGAATTTATAAGTAGATTTTGAACGAGACGAAGGCAACCAAAGCAGAAGGGTCGAACCGTTTTTATAAGCAGGTCTGCTCTTGTTTTGCTCTCGCCGTAATCTGAAAAACGCTTTCAGAGTGGAAGTCATAAATCAAGAAGATGTTTGATATATACTGTGATCATGTGAAAATGAAACATTAGTTAGTTTGTCGACCGGAGACCTGTGGCAATTTTTGGAAGAAACTGCCCGCGTGTGGTGGAGCAGGGCTGTATATTGTCGCACGTACGAGTAAGTTTAATAAACCGTAATAAACAATGTTGCACGTTTATTTACATGGTCAAAAGCAGCTACGGGGCTGGCTTTTTTAACCATTATATCCTTCCGCAATTTTAATTTAATTTTTGATTAAAATACATAATAATTATGACTAAAAATGCAAAAATTACAGCTTTGCTTTAACAGAGCGAGGAAGATTGGGAGGCTTGCAGGACGACGCAGCAGCAGACTTATATGACTACTGAACTCTACACTCTATAGCAGGGGTATTGTGACAAAATCACAGCACTTTATGGTCAGTGAGGCTTTTTATCTCGTGATTTTAATAAGACTGCGTCAACTGACAAGGAAAAAGAGACAGACTAGCGAAACCTGGGTGGTTAGTGTGGAAAGTATTGGCTGTTGATAAGATAGTGTCATTCAAAACTAAAATGTTAAACCGGAATTTTTTATTGCAACTTGTCATGTAGCCAAAAAGTTTAACAAAAAATAACCATAAAAATCAAATAAAATAAATCAAATCAAATAAATCAAATAATCAATCAAATCACCTGCATTTTTTGGAAACGTCACATGTGCGCAACGCCGCAAACTGCATAGCTCGTCCAGCGCGAGCAGCGTATCCACAAGTTGGACCACAACTGCTTTAAAAGAAGAGGTATTCCTCTAAACAAAACAGCTGAAAATATTCAAAACGCCCGTACGTGAAAGAAATGCCACGAGATAACATGTTTTGCAACCTGGGACACGAAAAACGTCCGCACGATTTTAATTGGCAGCGCTGCAAACGAGCGTAGGTTAATTTTATCAAAAAATTTTTGATTTCGGGGGCTAACATAATTATCTATCGAACGAGCCTAAGTAGTTAACGGTACGGCAGCCGGTTCGCGAGAAACAAACCAAAACAGTAGACCGACGTTTTGTTCAGCCACCCGGTAGTGTACCTACTGGTACACCCTATGACGATGGCCTGACCACTCCAGCCACTCGTACCCCAATAAAAAAGTAGGAACATATAGAGAGAACATTCATGCAGGGTTAAAGATCAAACTGAAAACAGACACCCAGTCTCACCAGGTGTTTCCCGTCTAACACCAGCACCACTTGGCTCTGTTCCCGTTCTGCTGCCCATCGGAAAACAGTCTGAGTCATCTTGCACTCGCGATTTTGGGATTTCCTGGATGTAAAAGCACAGTAAGAAACAAATTTAATTTGAAGCGGTGGCTACACCTTGACGTTTTCGCAACTTCATTAACTACTTTACAAAGGCTTAATCGTTTACCTAATTTGTATAAAAAAATAGTAGTAAAGATCGTTTGCAGTTACCTACCTTAGGGCAGGCGAACGATCGAGAGGAAATCAGCCGCAGGGCCACTTGTATCATAACACAGTAACACTAGACATCTTTCTCGTCAGGTGACTTTGCGCTCCATGGCGGCCTTCATCAGTCTGTCGCGTCAGTACGGTAGGTTGTTATTCTGGATATAATATTAATTTTCATACGAGTATTAATGAGTGTCGACTTTACCCTAATGATCCATTCGCCTTCGCAGTGCTGACAAAGTAAAGCCAACAGCACAACAGCAAGAACCGTTAGCAAAATAATTCCGAAAGCTATTCCTGCCGCGACCCCTTCCGAAAAGCCTGCAGAAGCAATGCCATCAAAAACTTCCAGCCTAGAAAAAAGACATAATGCTGAATCTTGCGTTGTTTACTGGGTTCTTCAAAGGCAGTGGAAATAACTGTTGTGTCGTTCGGGGCTGTAAAGTCACAAAAACGTTTTTTTAGCAAGATGCATGATGTTGTGCTCTAAGGATCTAAATATGTACACTGCATGGTTTCCGGATAAAGGATGTAGTCTTTGGTCTGGTGGTGAATATTGACGATAAGCTTGTAGTCCAGATCGAAGTAGCCATTTGACCGGGCGCAATTTAACAGGGAGTTGGCGGCCAGGGCGGCTGCGTAAGTTAGTCTTCTATATCCGTCCCCTATACGAGTAGTATACGTATGTCAACCAGCTGCTGTTTATTATTAAAAACTGAGCAGACGGTTATGGAAATTATCAAGGCCACCAACTGCGCAGCCCCACGTTGCTCGCATTTTACCCCAGTCTCACGCTTCGCACCAAAAATAAGAAACTGTTAACAAACTCCTACCTGATACAGGAATATTCTCGATGAAGGCAGTTACAAGAGCGTGTTCATCGTAATCACGATGGTACTGCGCTCGGCGATCCCAGCCGCGTCCTTCAAAAACACTACCGTCCATGCCAATAAGGAAGCTAAGAAAAAAATAACTTTTTGTGTCCGCCTAATCATCCTTGATAATGGGCGTAATTATTACTTGTAGAAGATTTCCGGTACAAAATTTGCTGCAGTCTGTGCCGTCCACGATGTGACATCGGTATGGAATTCACGGATGGCAAGCACCACGTCCCGACACGTTTCCCAACCCGTACAGGCTTCGCCCTGGGTGTGGGTGAACACCATATACGGCACGGGAGGGAGGAGATACGAGATGCTAGCGTTTAGCTCGGGAGTGCCCCACATGGACCCTGTGGTTATATTAACGCCTGGACAGTCCATGCTTGGTACACTACATTTTGTGCGTGGTGACGTCGCAACTATGAACACCAGTAGAAGTACTGCTGCAACGTTTGTATGGGTCAATCGGGTTATTAGGGCAGGCAAACAGAAATGTTGTAGCAGGTAACGCCGTAGTTGCGCTTCGTAATTGATTTGGCCGTTGGATCGTTTGTTCAGTGAGCGAAGACGAACGACACAGTAATAACTATATGATAACGTAGACGGCTCGATGTGCTTTAACTGCGCAATATCGGCCGATAGCGGCAGGAAATATGCCGGCATGCTGCACCTTTGTGCAAATATTATGTCACTTTTTATCTCTACAAACAATTAACGGATAATGCCGGTGCGGCGATTTGGATGCCGCAGTGCCGCTCTACCGTGATTGTCGCGATTGTTGTAGTTTTGTCAGTCTGAGTGTTTACGGTGCCTTTAACTGCAAGTACGAAGTCATTATTGAGATTACGATATTATTTACGGAAGTACAGATTCCACACGGGAATTTATGTAGCGAACGGTATCTGTGTTGTACTACGATGACGCCTCTGTGTCCGGAAGTAGCCATCATTTCCCGAAAGGCCTGGGGTGCCCGAGATGTCCGCGTGACGGAGATGGATATGCTGCCGCAACCTGCCACCTGCATGGTGTTTACGCATTCGTATGGCGCTCGCTGTTTTGATGCCCGCAACTGCTCCCTGATCACTCAGGCCATGCAGACGTATAATATGGACACCAATAAAAGGCCGGACATTTTTTATAAGTAAAGTTATTGTACCGTTCACTTTGACTTCTAGTGTAGGATCATTACCCATCGAGGAACATACAATGGACTACAAAATTAATTTTGACGCTAACCGATATATGTAGCCAAAGAAGCATCCATTGTAGCCCTCTGTGTATTATTTTACTTCCGATTTACGCTAGATAGCAAACTGACTACCGTACATGGCATGCAAAAACTATAGTTTTAAAGGTGGGATGTAACAAGCCATTTTGCATTCTAGCTTCCTGATTGGTTACGATGGTTCGGTCTTCGAAGGAAGGGGCCGGACTTACAGGCCGACGGTTAACTGGAAGTACAATGCCTACAGTTTGGGAGTCGCTTTCATTGGGAAATATCCTCCATCCGGGGACGACTTCACTAAACTGTCGTATCAAGCCGCGGTATCGGCCAGTGCCTTGCTGCAGTGCGCGCGCTCGCAAGGCTGGTTAGATGCCAATAATCACTCTGTGACGACATTTCGCATTAACCCCATCATGCGCAAGTATATACTGAACCCCAGTCTACTATTACGTAAGCATTCTATGATGTACTCGTATATCGGGCAGCAAAAACTGGTGAAATGTAATTGATGTAATGGGTGGATTTTGCTCGTAGCGCTTCAGGTTCCGGCACAACCGGCAAAAGAACCTCAAGGTAAACGGGAATGGCAGCGAGTAACGTTCTACCAACTGATGGATAAAATCTAAGTTTTGTATGTGATCAGTAATGTTATTTAACCGATTTCGCAGCGTTCCGGGATGGGTTCATCGCGGGATCGATCATGGCGCTTCTAATTGGTCTAATCCTTCTTTGTGTTGTCTACTGCCGCGGCAAACAACAACGAGAAAATTACAAGGTGATTAGACTGGGGGCCGAAAACTGCCCGGCATACTGTATTAAGGTCTTAAGCAGTATTGTTGTTTTGAAATCTTTCGAGCTTAGCTTATGTAGAACCGTTGTCGAATTTACTCGCACTAAAAAATGAGTCTAAAAAGAAGTCGTTTTGCAATAACTTAATCTTCTGACAAGCCCTAATTCCCCATACCTCATCATTCAGATGGAGGGCATCGTCGGGTTTTACAGCAACGCATGGAATCATTTTACTAACGTAACGAAGGATTGCAGTGCCAACAGTCGCTCGAGAAATGATATTCAAAGCACGTAAAAGAATTGTACAACTTTATTTTAAAAACATCCTATAAGCAGTAGTTGACCTAACCCTTGTTACTGTTATAGCATTTCTGCCGCGCTGCCAATTATCGAGAAGAACTTCTGAAGACGGTCCCATCGGAAACTGTGGATTACTTTACGATACCACGACGTTCAATCGATATAAGTAAATTAAAACAGGCACTGCAATAATTCTTGTCGGTTGCTAACAGCAAAATAATCCAGGTAATTTTAGAGGATGAACACTTGGGAAGTGGTCGAGACGGACATGTTTTTGTGGGTGCCCTGCACTCCAAAGAACTGCGGCGCTCCAGTTGGTCTTCCACCGACACATCGGTCGCATTGCCCGTAGCCGTGAAGATGTTGCGGGAATTATCCGCAAACGGGCCAGCGGCAAGCGCGTTTCTTTCCGAGATGGCCGTCCTGATGAAAGTCGGGCGACATACCAATATTGTCAATCTGGAGGGTGTTGTCCTACAAGGTATTTCTCGTCGCCTTTCTTGCAGAGACAAATTGATAATACTGAATTCTCATTAATCGCATAACCACTGCTTAGGCAAACTCATGATGGTTATGGAACACTGCGAACTGCTGTCCTTGGACTGCTACTTGCACACTCTGCGAACTTCGACTGAATCTGTACAATCCGAACCATATAGCCAAGATCCGAACCATCAAGCCTCAACAGTCATCGTACAGGAACTGAACAGTTTCGTTTATCAGATCAGCCGTGGCATGGAGTTTCTCTCCAATAAAAGCATCATTCATCGGGATTTGGCTGCGCGCAATGTGCTGCTAGATGCGCAGAAGACTGCCAAGATCGCCGATTTCGGGATGGCTAAAGAGCTTCCTGTGTACACTTTAGAACGCGACAAGGTAACTTGTTACCAAAACCAAGCAAAGACAGCATAGTTACTGCACTGGGAAACTGTTCTGCCATATACGGTCCAAACAGCAAATCCTTGTCTCCTGACTAATGAGTAAAGACTAAAAGTTTTGTGAACTTCAAGGTTCCTTTGCCCGTCCGCTGGCTAGCTCCTGAGTGCCTGCAGCCAAATCGTGCCGTATTTTCCACCGCTAGCGACGTTTGGTCCTTTGGGGTGATTGTCTGGGAGATATTCACGTTTGGTTCAGAGCCGTACGCTGTGGAATTCCCGAACGGTATCCTGTATGATCAGCTGTGCGAGTTCCTACGGCAAGGCTCTCGCCTGAACCTTCCAGAAATATGCCCCACCGAAATGTAGGCGATTTTGCATGCTTATGCGATGGTTTCATGAAGCTCTTTCTTGCAGACGTCAAATGGCTATGGGATGCTGGGAGTTTGAACCGGAACGGCGTCCAAGCTTTTCCACCATTCATCGTCGGGCGGAGGCTGTTTTGCCGGTATCTACCAAGGATGTCTATGTCACTTGTGATGTAGAGAGCTGCACGCCAAATGATCAGTCTGAAACGTTACGCGTGATCTTGAATAGCGAAATGCCGGTTATCAAGATTCAGTCGCTTTAATAAAATAGTGTTGCGACAGTTATTCTATGCTGCATATAGCAGCTGATCGACTGAGCTACATAAGCAATGTGCACTGGACGTGGTTGTTTTGTTTGAATTCCTTTAAAAGTGAATCCGTGCACATCCGTCATTATATGTTCTAGCGTAGGAATGGTTGCGACGATAGTCGGTATTCAGCGACGTAGATCGGAAGTTAAGTACGAGTATCTCCACATAACTACAAGCCCATCCGGAAACAAGAGCAAAGAGTGTAAGCGGGAAAAATGAAAAGCCATTAGAAAAACTACCTTGAGCCATTAGAAAAACTACGGCATGTTACGCCAGTACGGGTTCACTTATGCTCTTGTTTCCGGATGGGCTAGTATTACGTTTGGATGTACAGTTGTTTCAATGTGGTAAAGCGACGTAGTGCCAAGCCGCCGCCCGCATTTGTTCACAAACCATAGAAAATACCAAGCAAAGCAAGATGAGCCAGAGTCAAACAAAGCTGCGATAAAACTAGGATTTGAAATAATTTTGCCGTGGGATCGTCGATATCAGACAGTCACTGATCGCCAATTCCGGCCAGTTCGACAATATGCACTAGCAATATAAAGTATTTGTGGAGCCAGTAGAAGCTATGAAATTCCTGAAATTTCTGAAATTTCTTTCCTACTTTTGGCATTTGCCTCTTTTGTATAAAATATACCAACTCTTCACGATTCTGCATTTAGATTTGGTTACATCAGGGGTACAATCATAAGAACATAGTGAACATGACTGTCATGACAGTTCGTAACCATTTAAGCTCTGTGCAGGGAGCCGCACACGGCGGCCACGCTTAATTCCGCCATACGCAAATATTGAAAGGCTTTTCACAGAGTTTAGTTAACGATTAGGGTGCAGTGGCGGGTTGATGAGGTGGACTATGGTGCGCTTCTTCCACGTGGCCAACATCAGATTGACCCCTTTTCGTCAGGCTGTTCAGCATCACATCATTGGAGTTCTCACATCGGCTGGATTCAGCGAAACCCTGTAAATATAACCACAGTGCTGATTGGTAATAAATTTCGTTTTCACAAATGAAATCTCGGTTTCTAATCGGTGCACTCGTCACTTTCACAATCTGTAAGATTTGTGGGTTAATAGTTTTGTCTTCATTTACCAAAACCACTTCATTCTTGGCGATCGCAGGAACATGAAAAAGTCGGGTTAACTCCGTCCAGATTATATCAGGCCAATTCCGATTCCGGTGGCTTCGTGAATCGCTACCGACGTTATCAGCCTGTGAGTCAACGCTGTCAGTTGTGCTAGTGGTTTGACATTTATGCCGGCAGAATGTATACCTGTTTCCAGGTGCTGTTGGTGTGCTGCCAGAGCAGAGCCAAAAGCGCCAGAGCAAGCACCACTAATAGTATGATACCGAAAACAATTCCCGCCACCACGCCTTCCGAAAAGTCTGGCACGAGTTATAAACCGAAACTGTCAACAGAGCGACACCATCGTCATTTGTGCGTTCTTACTGGGCTTTTCCGCAACAAAGGGCGCATCTGTGTCATTCCGCGCTGCAATGTCATTATGATGATTTGCCATTAGTTTGTTATGTGCAGGAGATCATACTCAAAAGAAGACATTAGCCCTACGTTTCAGTGTTTCAGGGTGTAAAATGTAGTCTTTGGCCTGCTGGTGAATATTAACGATAACCGAGTCCTTCATTGGATTCAAGTAACCATTTGACCGGGCACAGACTAAGAGAGCATTCGCTGTTTTCGCGGCAGCGTAAGTTAAAGCTTTATAGCCGTCATCTATAACCAAGCAAAAACGCATGTTTGGATCGGGATGTTGCCGAAAAAATTCAGAATCATACGTACTGGAAATAGGAATATTCTCAATGAAGGCGGTAACAATGCCCTGCTCGTTGTAATCCTTGTGGTACTCGGCTCGCCGATTCCAACCACGTCCTTCGAACACGCTCCCGTCCATGCCAATCAGGAAGCTGAAAGCGAACATTGGGAGCACGTCATACTGCATTACGACGCATCCAGTACAAACCGGAGAATTTTTGGGCTTACTTGTAGAAAATTTCGGGAGTAAAGTTGGCGGCCATCTGGGCAGTCCACGAATTAGGATCCGTGTGAAATTCCCGGATGGCGGCTACCACCGTCCGACACATGTCGAAATCGGTACAGGCCTCCCCTTTGGTATGCGTGTACACCATGTACGCCACAGGATGGATCAAGTAGGGTATGCTAACGCTCAGATCGGGGGCGCCCCAAGCGGACCGTGCGGTTATGTTGATACCGGGACATTCCATGTTTGCAGCGTTGTATCTGCAGTAAGTATTAGTATTCAGCCGGCACGTGTACAATTGAACAGCGTTAGTAAGGCATTAGTGTCATTTACTTCGAAACACCGCTACTTTGTTTGCAGCTGCAATTCGGTTAATAGGGTAAGCAAATACAAGAGATGCAGCGTATTGCCTTGGTAGTTCCGCTATGTAATCAAATTAGGCGCTGGAATTAGTGGAATTGTTTACTTAACGAGTACAAACAAGCGCCATTCGGATCAGTGAGCATTCTGTGATCGTCCGCGCATAATCAAAACATGGGCATTCTGTATCTTTCGGTAAACATTATGACCACGCTTTATCTAATGTTACAACGTAGTTTACCTAATTTCAACATGTGAACAGAACAAACACAAACATATCGTGCCGCCATTGCTGGGGGACCAGGAGTGTCCGAAGTTCAGATTAGCGTCCGACGCATGGATATGAATAATAATACAACGAAGTAATTGTGCTTATGAAATCTAATTTCTGCTGTTTAGTTTGCACTGCTCAAATTTTCAAAATTTCAGTTAGTGGAAATTCGCGAAGGCGTATTCGTATCGGCAATGTATATTGTATGGTACTGGCTGTAGACTATAGCCGAATGAATTAAGTGGATCAGGCATTACTTTGATATTAAGTAATACCAATTGATTTTTTTGTTTGACAAGGAATTACAGCCGCGGAAGACGGATGGCGGCACAGTGCTCGGAAGTGGACATCATTTCGCGCTCGGCATGGGGCGCTCGAGTTGTCTCCGAGGAGGACATGTTTGATTACGCCATGACACTGCCCGCCACCTGCATGGTGTTCACGCATTCGTATGGCGCTGCCTGCTATGATGCCCGCAATTGTTCCCTGATCACTCAAGCCATGCAGATCTATCATATGGACACCAACGAGATTGCCGATATTGCATACAAGTAAAGTAGCAACAAGTACAATGCTACAATGGTAAAGGCGCGCATATACCGATACATTCAGGGCGTAGTCGTTTGGTAAATCAATAGCTTTAATAATTTTGTTACAACATTTTTTAACTGCGGACTGACTGGTCAATTTCCTCTATTTCAATCATAAATCGCTTATCATGAGTCATCGCTTATGTGTCGCAGCTTTTTGATCGGCTCCGACGGATCGGTACTCGAAGGGAGAGGCTGGCTTTACCGGCCATCACTGCACCGCCAATATAACGCGTACAGTTTCGGCGTCGCATTTATTGGGAAATACCCACCCTCTGGAGACGACTTCACCAAAATGTCGTACAAGGCGGCTATCTCCGCCAACGCCCTGATACAATGTGCTCGCTCACAGGGGTTTCTGCAACCAAACAATCGTTTCGCGCTCCCGACGACATTCCGCATCAATCCCATTATGCGAAACTACATAATGAATCCCCATTTACTGTTGCGTAGGTGTTTGTTAAAAGCCAATGCTGCAGTCAGTAGTGAATGTAGGATGCAAGTTTGTGTTTCTAGCGCCTCCCATTTCGCCGTCACCACCCGCAGAGCCTCCAGGTACGCCGAAAGGTCAAACTGGACTTACTGGAGTAAAACTGGGAAATTCAATGAATAGTGTTGTACTTATCAATTAAACGCTCGCAACTGATTCCCACAGCGTTTCGCGATGGATTCATTGCCGGATCAGTTATGGCGCTGCTCATCGGTGTGTGCCTATTTGGTATAGTGTACTGGCGAGGCAAACAGCAACGCAGGAGATACAAGGTGAGTACCGCGGTCCTAAATTGACTAACGCTGGTCCAGCGAATCACCATTAATTTTGCACACTTGTTGCAGCATTTTTGCCGCGCTGCTGATTATCGCAAGGAGCTTCTGCAATCCGTCCCATCGGAGCTTGTGGATAACTTCATGATACCACAACGTGCAGTCGATATTAGTCAGTTAAATATGTTACTAGACATGTCGTCGTTGTTATAAAGACGTAATCTGTATACGAGTACTTGTAGAAGATGAACATTTGGGAAGCGGTCGTGATGGCCATGTGTTTACGGGTGTCCTGCAGTCAAAATATCTGCGGCGTACCAACTGGTTATCTAACACAACAGGGACATCCGGCTCCTTTCTCGTGGCTGTAAAGATGTTGCGCAGCTTATCCAAAAACGGAGCAGCGGCAAGTGCCTTTCTGTCGGAAATGACTGTCTTGATGAAAGTTGGACCACATCGTAACATTGTCAACTTAGAGGGTATTGTTTTGCAAGGTAAGTTTTCTATTCAATGGAAAATAATTAATCCACAGAAACCTCTGTACACTGAAAAAACTACAAATCGGCACTGCGTAAACTACTTTCGATTCGCTGCGTTTTACCTCCTGTGACATCTACTGCATTACCGGTCTACCGTGATCAATTTTGCTTTTCTTCCCCACCATTCGTTAAGCGTACTACCATGGTACCGTGTGCCGTATGGTACCATTCGGCAGCTGCATGGCATTAAGAACGTTGAATGACTGTATTAGTCTTCATTGTTGCAATCACAGAAGATTTGCGTCTTTTTAACTTTTTTAGTTAGTGATGCAATGCGGCTTTGGCATCGTCATGGCCAATCTTTATCCTATCCAGATACGATGCTGACAATTTTATTTCATTTCCGTCAAAAAAACTTCTTTAAAAAATCCGCCAGAAATCTTCTAATGGAAAACGTGATGTAACCGCATTAAGCATTTATTTTGCCGGGTGACACTATAGCCACCCTTAAACCCCCCCCCCCGTTTTTTATAGCCGCCCCTTTTCCGCACCACGTTAATTATAGGCATCCTTTTCTCAGTTAATTAATTAAGTTTTCAAACACCCTGTTTTTTATAGGCACCCCTTTTATAGGCATTTTTGCGTAACTTAATTATATTAGGATGCTGTGATGTCTGTGCTTGTACAGTTGCTCGGACAATGAAGGAGCCCTTTCCGCTCTTCTAACATGTGACGTTCGCTCACTAATATACTGACCTGTTCGAGGACGACAATGGTATGGACTGCGTACAGGCACTGTACGGTTCCCACTCTTTTGTGCTTCCACGTAAGGTGGCACACGAATACTTCGTGTGACTTCGTGTGAGTCAGTGAATGTATAAAAGCCTTAACAGTGAGCTTTCGCCACACGTCCTTCTCCAGTTATCCATGAGACCATTTGTGTGGAGGTGAAGTGGATGAAATAACTGCACGATTTCGTGTGGTTCAGTTGCAGACAGCTGAATCCAACCAGTGCGGTCCGCTGGTATGCTCATTCATGGCCGATATTGATTACGGGCCGTGGACGAGACCGTGTTTGCAAAAGCCGAAGCCCAGCGCAAATGGCTTGCGGAAGCGCTTAAAAAGAAAGAGATCGCGCGTTGTCCTAAGAGTACTGGACGAAATCCAGTCAATGAACTGAATCAACTGATTAAGAAAAGAGTTCGAATATGTGCGCGTAACGGCCGTAGCAGGCTGCTGTTATACGGTCCATGTTATCTGATCAGTCTAACACACCCACTGTTGGGTGATTAAGGCTTAAAACAACTGATAATTTGAAGTCCTCAGATAAATTATAAAAATTAATTAGAAAGGGGTGTCTATAAAAAACAACAACGGGGTGTCGTTATTTGATGAATAGTAAAAAAGGGTGGCTATAAAAAACAAGGTGCGAAAAGCCAAAAGGGGTGGCTATAAAAAAGGGGGTGATTATAAGGGGTGATAGGGGGTGTTAGGGGGTGATTTTATTATAATTGTGGAGCGAAGCTCACTTTGTACATACTGAGAAATAAAATCCATGTAAAAAGGGGTGAAAAGGGGTGGCTATAGTGATTTCCTATTTTGTTATCATTATGTTTTCCAGTAATATAGTAGCTCACCGAGTGAAAGGGTTGCGGAAAATAACGAGTGTACAGAATTGTTAACAACAAAAACATATAAGGGATGATTTCCGACAACTAGGTAAGCTTATGGTGGTTTTGGAGCACTGCGCACTGCGATCCTTAGAGATCTATTTGCAAACTACCCGAACCTCTACCGAATCTGTGGAATCCGGATCACCTAGCCAGAATTCCATCTCACCGGATGTCGAGAAGGAAATGGTCAGTTTCGTTTACCAGATTAGCCGGGGCATGGAGTTCCTCGTCAGCAAAAGCATAATCCACCGCGACCTGGCCGCGCGAAATGTGCTTCTGGATGCGCAAAAAACGGCCAAGATCGCCGATTTTGGAATGGCGAAGGAGCAACCCATATACACTTTAGAACGCGACAAAGTGTGTAACCAACCAGACATTTCAGCTTGCACTCGCAAATCTTGCAGTCTAAACTCCTCGTAAACGAGTAACGACAAATAATATTTTTGTGACCTTAAGGTTCCTTTGCCCGTCCGCTGGTCAGCTCCTGAATGCCTGCAGCCGAATCGCGCCGTCTTTTCCACCGCTAGCGACGTGTGGTCCTTTGGGGTGGTTGTTTGGGAAATCTACACGTTCGGTTCAGAGCCGTACGCTGCGGAATTCCCGAACGGTATCCTGTATGATCAGCTGCGCGAGTTCCTACGGCACGGCTCTCGTCTGAACCTTCCAGAAATATGCCCCGCCGAAATGTAGGTGTGATTTTGTTTGCTTTGTAGGTGATTTTGCCTGTTTCATTAAGCGTTTCTTGCAGACGTGATATTGCTATTGGATGCTGGGAGTTTGGACCGGAAAGGCGTCCAAGCTTTTCCACCATTCGTCATCGTGCGGAGGCTGTTTTGCCGGTGTCTGCCAAGGATGTGTATGTCGCTTGTGATGTAGATTGCTGTACGAAAAATGATCAATCTGAAACATTACGTGTGATCATGGACAGCGAAATGCCGGTTATTAATGTTCAGTCGCTTTAATGAATATTACGAGTATTACGAATATGTACAGTCACTGTATGCTTCACGTGCAATGCTGAGGTGTGTTGCATCACATGCCTTCAGTAGCAGAGTTTGGTAATGAACCTGTATTGTTTTCGGCCAGGTTTAAATTCCCATACTGTGTATGTGAAACACAGCAGGTGTAGGGGTTACCTGCTACCGTGATGAAATTATTATTAAACTATTATTTAATGTTCCCCGCTTCCGGTGTCCACTATCGGCGCTGACACCCGGGCTGTAGGCAGCTGGTACTCTCGTGATCGGCTACGTGCGGTGACCGGGGGGCAGCGACAAGCCGACCGACCGAAGGTCGGCGGAAGAGAGACCAGTGCCCTGCGCAACCGAATGCCCAATTATACCCCAAACAACATCCAGGATCAGACGCAAGGACTAACTCCATCCGTTGGAATTTGGATACAGACATAGGTGGCGAAACAGTTGTTTTTCCAGCGTTCCAGGCACCGGATTTTATTGTCATTGCATCCTCCAGTAGCTGATGTTATGGAGCCGCCGCTGCGGAAGCTTCGAGTTCCGTAACGAGGATGTCAGACAAGAGACGCAGCAGGTCATCCAGCGATCGATCAACGCTTTGACGAGTCAGGTAGGCTCTTCTGAACAACAAGAAAGCGTTTTAAGCTTACTTCCGAGTTCAAGTCTTGACGCCGCGTATGTTGTAAAAGCACGAACTGGACAGACTGAACCTGGCCCTGCCTTACGCAGTTGCAGTTTATAACCGTGACTGTATTGGTTGGTTTCAGACGATTCAAGAGACTTTGTGACGGTGTCGGCGCTCAGTTGGAGGTCCTTGAGGATCAGCGTACGTATGCTACTGCAGGATGTCGGTAATGGTGCCGTGTATACGAGGACAATTGGGTGCTGTGAACATACCCTGCACGATTAGGTTGCGATGAACAGCCGGCTAAATTTAAGCCATTTGCATTCAGACTGTGATATCGGTAGCGTTGCGAGCTACGGCTAACCAGCTGTTCATCGCAGCCTAATCGTGCAGGGTATGTTCACAGCACCCAATTGTCCTCGTATTCGCTAGCTCTGAGAAGGCCGGCATATGCGATGTTGAAGGATGCATAGTACGAGACCATAGTGCAATCGATCTTCATAGTACAATCTATAGAATCTTCATAGTACGATCTTTTAAGAGCCGCATGACGTCGAGCGCTATGGCAGGCTTTGACCACGAGGCGTCGGTGCTAGCCTCTGATAACCTTGGAGCGCATGGGTAAGTGCAGCATGGCGATTCGAAATCGCCAAACTGTATGCGGCGACAATTTGTAATGGTTGCGATTTTGTTTATTTTAATAAACATACGGTTCATCGTAAAAGCTTGGCAATTAACCTAGATCTGAGCAAAGCAATGGCGACAACTCAGCAAATCTGCCCCATGCTGCCGGAATGCAATTTTCATATGAAATAGGTGATGTTAATACCGGGTGCAGCCATTTGTAAAAACGTACTGGGCAATTGAGCTACTGAAATCGGATTGAAACACAGGTCTGACCGTGCAGAATAGAATTCGCTGGCAACTTCAAAGCGAATCACCACATCTTTCCGCAAAGCAATCGCCGGCCCCTTGTCTGACTATGTCCACGCTGTACAGTACTGTGGTAAATTTCTTGACTCGGTATGCACATGAGACACAGCAATTTCCTGCAAAAAAAACCAAAACACACCTTAATTTAAGCGAAACTGCTGATCGTGTTTACCGTTTAAGCCTGGCAAGACATTCGTACTCGTATTACGCTGTCTCTGCTTAATGTCGTGCACTAACCGAAACCGCGGGGTCGTTGCCGCCTAAACGAGCGTCAACAAGTCGCATTAACGTCCCTAACATGATGTCAGACAACTTCCGCTTCTGTTGACGAGTTGACCCGATACACTCGTTATCAGCCTGTTGTGTCAGTTTTATGCATTTAGATCGAATTGCAGTTAGCATAAGCCTTTTATCAATGTCGTGCATTACCTTCTTCCAATCGTTTTTGATATACGGCCAGAGTAGAGATAAAAGCACCAGAAGAAGTACCACTAGCAATATAATACTGAAGGCAATTCCAGCGGCCACACCTTCCGAAAAGCCTACAAAGGGAAATTCCGGCCTACAAGATTTTCGGCACAATTCTAGGGAACGCTGAACCTAAAATGGCATCACGACAGACTGCTGCCGTCTTACTGGGCTTATCCAGGGTGCTGGGCAAAGTGGGCGTGTCGTTCAGAGCTGCAACGCCATAAAAAATATGCAGATTTTTCCAGATATGGACTTAGTAGGAAAAATGACAGTTTATAATATTACACTGCATAGCTTCGGGGTAGAGAATGTAGTTCTTGGCCAGCGGATGAATGTTGACAATAACCGAGTCGTTCCCCGGATTCAGGTAGCCCATCCACTGTGCACACTGCAGTAAATTATTGGCTGCTTTGGCAGCCGCGTACGTTAGCGCTCTGTAACCGTCCCCTGCGAAAACACACAAGAATGAATGATAATCGCAGTTTTATTGTTTCGGATTTCGTCGTCCAAAATATGGCATTACACAGTACATACCGGCTGTGGGAATCTTCTCAATGAAAGCGGTAACGATGCCCTGTTGATTGTAATCGCGATGGTAATCGGCTTGCCGATCCCAACCTCTGCCTTCGAAAACACTACCGTCCATTCCGATCAGAAAGCTAAATTAATAACCGGCAGTTACAATTTGCAGAACCAGAAATTTCATTACATATGTACTTGTAGAAGATTTCCGGCACGAAGTTAGCGGCGGTCTGGGACGTCCACGACGTAGTGTCCGCGTGGAATTCGCGGATTGCCGCGACCACTTCCCGACACATGTCGAAACCCGCACACGCATCCCCCTTGGTGTCGGTGTATACCATGTACCGCACCGGGTGGAGCAAGAACGATATAGTAGTGTTTAAAGCGGGAGCGCCCCAGTCAGACCGTGTAGTTATATTAACGCCTGGACAGTTCATTTCTGTTCGTATGAGAAGCGATTAAAGGGCATCAGTACCAATCATCTCCCTAGTACAACATTAATTAATGAATGACTTATGGCTTATGGTTGTGGTTCCGGCTTATTAGGCCAAAATACCGATGCAAAAGCCCATAGCTCCGACAGTTCCGGTTGCTAATCAAATTATGGCACTGGATTGTTTGTTCATCCAGCAAAGTCAACCGACGTATTGATACAAACGATAGCGGCTCCGCTTGAGCTTGCATTCTGTCAATTTCTGTGATAGTACACGGAAGTCTACAGTTGTGTCAAAACTTATTCTTCCGCACTTTTGTGCAAATATTATTGTTAGGTTTTACCTGGGTTTAAAGACGCAGTTACCTAATGTCAACACTGCGCCATGACCAGTACAAACAACTGATACCATAACAATGGGATAGTTTAGAATAGCGAATGATACATACCGTCACTGTGTCTTAATGATTACGCTGCTTAGTAATAATATCACTGACGTCCGTAATACTTTGTAATTATTCTCGCTTCCGCATATGCAAAAGAAAACGGAACTGATACTGCATACAATGGCGACGACACTCTGCTCCGAAGTAGACATTATTCGGCGTTCGGTATGGGGCGCTCGACCTGCTCGGGAATGGGAGATGGTCAAACTGCCGCTACCCGCCACCTGCATGGTGTTTACTCATTCCTATGGTGCTTCCTGTTTCGATGCCCGCAACTGTTCCCTCATCACGCAGGCCATGCAGATCTATAATATGGACACAAACGAACATCCTGACATCCCTTACAAGTACATACGTCAATCACCTAAATAATTGCGGTTGTAAATTTGATACTGCAGAATTTTCGGGAGTAGCGGCACGACACTATTTTCAGTGTTATCTATATAATACGGTAAATTTTCGACTGCGTCATCAGCTGGTACGCAATGGCTTATTTGCCGCAGTTTCTTGATTGGTTACGATGGATCGGTTCTCGAGGGAAGAGGTTGGACCTTCAGACCACTCGTAAATCGCATGTACAACGAATACTGCTTCGGCGTAGCGCTTATCGGAAAGTATCCGCCATCCGGAGATGACTTTACCAAAATGTCATATAAGACAGCCGCCTCAGCCAACGCTCTGATACAGTGCGCGCGCTCGCAAGGCTGGTTGGATCCGGTCAATCATTCCGTAATGACCTTTCAGATTAACCCCATTATACGCAACTATATAGTCAGTCCCCATCTGCTTTTACGTAAGTGTTTGCTAGACTGCAAGAACACACTCATAATGATCTGTTTTTTTATCTGCTTGTGGTAAAGCACCACCCGTTTTGCCCCCACCGCCACAAGAACCACAAGGTACATATGATGAGTGCCGATTACGTAAAATCGGCAGAATGAATTTGTACACATGCTTTTACTGCATTCACAGCGTTTCGCGACGGGTTCATCGCTGGATCGATTATCGCGCTGCTTATTGGCTTGATCCTACTTGCTGTTGCGTATTGGCGGGGAAAACAACAACGCAACAGATACAAGGTATACACAAGTATGACAACACATACAAGAAAAAAAAAAGAAAGACATAAGAATATAAGAAGCAACGCAACAGATATAAAAGAGACAATGTATCAACCAACAGAAGTTGCTGGATACATTGTGTTTTTCCCAGATTTTTTTTCTTGTTATTGTAGCACTTTTGCCGCGCTATCGACTATCGTAACGAACTGCAGAAAAGTGTCCCAGCAGAAACAGTGGAGCGCTTCTTGATACCACGGCGCTCAATCGACATAAGTAAACGAAAACCACCCATGAATAATACAGCCTTTTCCTGTAGTAACATTGCGTGTGGTTCTAGAGGATGAGCATTTGGGAAGCGGTCGCGATGGTCATGTTCTCTTGGGTTCGATGCAGTGCAAAGACCTACGGCGTGGCAGTTGGTCATCCACTGAGACATCGCGTTCGTGCTCTGTGGCGGTAAAAATGCTACGGGATCTCCCTAGAAACCAGTCAGCAACCAGCGCGTTCCTGTCCGAAATGAGCATTCTTATGAAAGTCGGACGACATAACAATATTGTCAATTTAGAGGGCGTGGTTCTGCAAGGTGCACCGAACCATCTTGACGACTGTAAATAAAATTAAACACCCAGCGTTGTAATGATGTCTTTTAGGGAAACTAATGATGGTTATGGAGCATTGCGAACTACGATCCTTAGAGTCCTATTTGCACAGTCTGCGAACCTCGAATCAACATGGACAATCCGAACCATTTAACCAGGATACCACATCGGTTGAAGTATCGAAGGAACTGGTCAGTTTCGTCTACCAGATCAGCCGGGGCATGGAGTTCCTCGCCAGCAAAAGCATCATCCATCGGGATTTGGCCGCACGCAATGTGCTTTTGGATGCGCAGAAAGTGGCTAAGATCGCCGATTTCGGGATGGCCAAGGAGCTGCCTGTATACACGCTGGAGCGCGACAAAGTAGTTTTGTAACCAACTCGCCAGCATTTCTGTGATATGCGGTTTTAGCAACAAATCCTGGTCTCGTCGAGGATCAAATAATGGCTAATAGTGTTGTTATCTGTAGGTTCCCTTGCCCGTCCGCTGGTTAGCTCCTGAATGCCTGCAGCCTAATCGTGCGGTCTTTTCCACCGCAAGCGACGTATGGTCTTTCGGCGTGGTCGTCTGGGAAATCTACACGTTCGGTTCGGAGCCGTACGCGGAGGTTTTTCCAAACGGCATCCTGTATGATCAGCTATGTGCTTTCCTTCGAGATGACTCCCGACTGCACCTTCCGGCAACATGCCCCACCGATATGTAAGTTACCTGGCTACCCAGACAAGCGGATAACGGAACGATTTCTTGCAGCCGTCAAATAACTCGTGAATGCTGGGAATATTAGGACTGGCTCAATCCGTACCAGACCTGGGCAGTTAATTTTAACTATTTAACTTAACGCGAGTTTTTTTCGAGTTAACGAGTTATAACTTAACTTTGAAGCTTAACTCGCCAGGACGAAAACTTAACTCTAGCGCAACTCAAAAAAAATATAGCGCAACTCGAGTTTAACGTAACTCTGCGGGTTTCAGTTGAAAGCAAAAATGAAATAAAAATATAGAAAATATCAGAAAAAAAGGCATTTTAACCGTGGATCGGATAAAATGCCATAATTACAAAAGTATGTGTGTACCCGAAATTTCTCGAGCCGACGTACACTATGACCGCCCAGGGCTTTGTCTAGATGATTATGCTCAGGGGAGTCCATGCTGACAGTGAGTGTGGTCGTGCAATTTGAGCTAAATTAACAGCGTGCAGAGAACGTAATTTTTTGCGGAGCAAAATTTTGCCAACGCGAGGACAAATCATGTTCCGCACCAAAATCACACGCGAATTGATCGTCTGTGCGTCTTCGCTACCTGCCCATTAGGGAAGCGTAATAACGCGGTCAACACTGTCAAACAGCTACACTAACTTCGGTAGCCTTGTGAAGCTAAATCATATTAAAAAAGTTCAGCGTTGCCGGCGCTCGGCCGTAAAAAGCCAGGGTCAAATAGAGGGAGGAATTTTGAGAAGGAGGAATTTTTGTGTGGTTAAAAAGAGGCAGAAATTTTGTCAGATAAGGACTTTTCTTATGTTTGATTTTTTCTTGAGGGAGAGAGATAACAATAAGAAGAAAAAACAAAAAAACACAAGAATGTTTTCTTGTGTTTCTTTCTTTTGTTTCATTCTTATTTTTTCTTATGTTTCATTTATATTTTCTTATGTTTCATTCTTTTGTTTCTTTCTTATTCTTTCTTATGTTTCATTTATATTTTATCTTCCTCCCTCAAGAATAATGCGTCTCTCGGTCTCTCCCTCAGGAAAAACATGAAAAAGAAACCTAAGAAAAAGCATGAATTTCAAAATCAGTTTTAAGAAAAAAAAATTAATAATGGTCTGTGTCTCAAATCTGGTGAAAGTGATATCGGCATGCATAAAAGACTACTTGAAGTTGATTAATAAAATCATGATTTTTTTTATTAGAAGTTAACTCCAGTTAACTCTAGTTATTGCGGCTAACTTAATTCGTAGCGTAACTCGCGAGCTGCGAATAACTCTTAACTCTAACTATGAGTCGAAATCTCATAACTGCCCAGGTCTGATCCGTACCAAGATAATGCGTTGCGCGACAATATCGGCGCAACACAGCTTATAAGCCGCAACACGCAGCAACGGGCCGCAACAGTGCTGCCGTGCTTGGCTGGGCTATGCCAGCGCAACGTCGCAACAGGCGCAACACGACTTATTAGCCGCAACACGCAGCAACGGGCCGCAACAGTGATGCCGTGCTTGGCCGGGCTATGCCAGCGCAACGCCGCAACAGGCGCAACACAGCTTATAAGCCGCAACACGCAGCAACGGGCCGCAATAGTGCTGCCGTGCTTGGCTGGGCTATGCCAGCGCAACGCCGCAACAGGCGCAACACGGCTTATTAGCCGCAACACGCAGCAACGGGCCGCAACAGTGCTGCCGTTTGGTCAATATGCCAGCGCAACGCCGCAACAGGCGCAACACGGCTTATTAGCCGCAACACGCAGCAACGGGCCGCAACAGTGCTGCCGTGGCCAGGCTATGCCAGCGCAACGCCGCAACAGGCGCAACACTGGCTTATAAGCCGCAACACGCAGCAACGGGCCGCAACAGTGCTGCCGTGCCGGGCTATGCCAGCGCAACCCCGCAACAGGCGCAACACGGTTGTATTAGCCGCAACACGCAGCAACGGGCCGCAACAGTGCTGCCGTGCTTGGCCGGGCTATGCCAGCGCAACGCCGCAACAGGCGCAACACAGCTTATAAGCCGCAACACGCAGCAACGGGCCGCAACAGTGCTGCCGTGCTTGGCCGGGCTATGCCAGCGCAACCCCGCAACAGGCGCAACACGGCTTATTAGCCGCAACACGCAGCAACGGGCCGCAACAGTGCTGCCGTGCTTGGCCGGGCTATGCCAGCGCAACGCCGCAACAGGCGCAACACGGCTTATTAGCCGCAACACGCAGCAACTAGCCGTAACACGGCATTAAATTGCCCAACGGGCCTTAAGTATAAATACCATATTAAGGGCAAGATGCATTCACTATGACATAAATGCTGTAGCAGTCGAACTACTGCAGCAGACAACGCACGAAGTGGTGCAGCAAATGATGCGCGTTACGTAAGTGATTATGATGTACATAGAAAGAAGACGGTGGAAGCTTTCTGCGGATCTTGGCTTCCATACCGGACTGATCATCCACGGTTAGCAAGATTTATCTAAATTTTGTCCAAATTTACTCTAGAAGTTATCGACATCAACGCCTCTTCTGCGTTATTGTCCAACTGTCTATGAAAAACTGTTAAGCACACTAGGCGGATTATGCCGACTATGCTCATTGGCTGAACTGAAATTTGGCACCGTTCACAGCGAAAACAAACCTAAATAAATACCTAAATACAGCGAAAATCTTTAGAGTTTTACAGGTTTTGTTGTAGGCATTGGATCAAAATTAATGTTTGTACAAGTGAATTCAGGCTCTTTACCCGTTTACCAACAGCTTTTGGTCCAACCGCAAGTTATAGCGATAATGCACAGAAATGCTAACGATAAAGAGTAAAGTCAAAAGCTAAAAAAAACATGCATTGTTTCCTTTAAAAAAGCACTGGCGTTATCTCTAGAAATATGCGTATTGGTTCGACTGATTCATGATTTCAAACAAACACGGTAGTCCTATTTGCAGGACTGACACTTATACGCGGGTAATACTAATGAATGTTACTGGTACTGGCAGTGTTACTGGTAGTGGTACAATATAATGTTACTGGTACTGGTAGTGGTAGTAAAAATGGTACTGTTACTGTTAGTGGTACTGGTTGTGTTAGTGGTATCACGTAATGGTACTGGTACTGGTAGTGGTAACACTTACGATAGTTACCGCCGATTGTGTTACCGGCAGTCGGCACAACTAGACACCTTAACGGATGCTGAGCCGCAAGGCTGGTACACAATAACTTTAATAATGCGTTATTAATAACGAGCTATTATTATTAACGAAATATTACTTCAAGGCAATATCCGGTTTACCCAGAAGTATAACAGCAGAAAAAGTAGACTGTCATAATAATTATAAAATTTATCCGGCATTTATCCGACGTAACGTCGTGATTTCACAAGTATATCTTCTAATCAAAATGCTAAATAATTCTTAAGTGGTCATCTCATCATAATGGCAGACCGAGAAGATAATTATAAGACCATAACAATTTCCTAAGTAAATGCGAGGTGCGTTAAAAAAATTACTAACAACTCTATTCGAAGCGGCATATCATCATTTTTTTTTAACTTTCGTGTGCAGCCACAGCATTTCGCGGTATTTTCCGTTTGCTTATCAGGTGAAATTGTTATGCAAGGCGTTTCGATCTCAGCACGCTTGCGCTTACGTGCGCACGGAGCAGCAGTCGCCTGCGTAGTCAAAGACGAAGAAGGGCAGACTGTTGATACTCGAAGCACCGACGTCGGTGCAGCCGAACGAGTATTTGATCCCATTCCTCTGCTTGTACCTTGTGGTTTTCTACAGGCATTCGCTGGAGCTGCCGACTCTATCAAACTGGACATACCGAACCGACTGCAACTCTGCAGCGCTGGAGAGTTTAACAACGCCACCAATTTATCCACTGCTTTTTGATGAATAGCTACCGCCAAAACCTCAGGGCACACTCCAAAATGCCGCAAACGATTTGCAGCTTTTGTCGCACTTTATTTTTTGTTTAACTGTATCGAGTTTCACCTGATAGGTGAAACTCGATACAGTACATGTCAGGTAACAAAAGTGGCACATTAAAACATAAGAACTGCACTAAAACATTAAAAACTGCTCGAAATTGTTTAAACCTAAATTTGTAAAAGGTCAACAGGTGTTATACGGCAACAATGTTATATGAAGTTGTTCTCCAATACAACATATCCTAATAAATTTTATTTTTAACGTTACCATAACAGTACCACTGTACCAGTACCATTACGTGATGCCACTGCCACAACCAGTACCACTACCAGTAACAGTACCATTTTTACTACCAGTACCAGTACCAGTACCATTATATCGTACCACTACCAGTAACACTACCAGTACCAGTAACATTAATTAGTATTACCCCTTATACGCTCTCTTCTTTGCGTCCGTTAGCCTGCCATTCACATCTCCGCATTTCAAATGAAACACAAGCTTGCATACCGTACATGCAATCCCTGAATCCTTGATTTCCAGCGCAAGCCCACACCTAGCGCACTAAACAAACAATGCACTGGTAACACTGACACAGTGGCATGAAACAAAATGTATAAAGACTGATTTACTGACCTTTGCGACATCATCGTTCGAAACGACTCGAACCTTATGCTTACTGGCTCGTGTTGTTGGAGGAGATCCTGTGTACGAACAGAAAACCACGATGCAGCTTCAGTCAAAATTCACCATTACACAGATCAAAGGATGCGAGTGACCGCGGCATGCGTCATGATCACTTGTCCAGATTAACACACTGCCATCTGCAGGGGGTACTACAACACTATATTACCATGCAGGCCCATGCTATTCCAAGATTTTAACTTCGGTTAACATTTGTGCGTTTATTTTGTTCGACCTCGCACACATCCGATTTTTATCGCTTAGTGGTACTACCGAAAGCTGTGCACTGATCTCTAATTCCAATGCACAGCTACCGCCATGCCGTTCTCATGAAACACGTACAATTAATTTTAACAGGCTAACGTCTTACCCGTGCTGGCAAGCTTGCGCTTTTTCGCTTTGCCTTCCGGTTCAGGAATTTCTGAAACGAGAAGTAGAAATATATTTTTAAATTCAGAGCAGCTCATAAAACTTCATTGCTATCAGTTATGCTTTTATTTGTAAATCAAGCAATTAACAGTTGCAGGCAATCATTGGGAAGTAGTTCGTCACCTTCAGCAGAAGACTCGTCCTCCGAAGATTTGGGCTCGGTATGGGGACAACCAATGCTGCTACCCTTTACGGTTTCCGGCGATGCAATCCGTTCGTGCAGCGGGACACGTCCACCCGCTGAACAGGACTGCTCCGTCACATCCGTGTTGTCTGCCAAAACGGAACTTGACGGCGCGATGTTGATGCCGATACCCAATTCAGTGATCCCTCCTGGATTGGCGCTGGTGGGCACGGCAAGACTGCTCTGCTGATTAGCGGAAGAGGCCGAAGGCTTTTCGTTCGTAGGGGAGATTGGTCAGGACCGGCAGCGGCCGTGCCTGAGATACCTTAATAGCAAAATATAACTATTTTGAAGGATAACTTCATTTCACTTGACAGCATCACTTTGCAATGTACTGTTTACAGCAGCTAATGGATTAGTAATATAGTGGAGCGAAGCGAAGGTCTTCCTAGATTTTCTGTTTTAAAAACCATTGCTCCTCAGTTTGTAAATTACGGTGTCGGGACAAACAAAACGATTTCCCAATTCGTCCTCTTTCGGAAATAGTACTTAGTTTGTTGGATTACGAGGTTTCTTACTGGCATGAGAACATGAGCGTAACTGCGCACATATTTGAATGTTGGTTTCGAAGTAGGATACAAACAATAAGTCTAAAAAATGACTTATTGTGGACAAAGAAAATGACGCGTCAAACTAATAGTTTTACCTGATTTTTTATACAAACTGCGCTGATCTACGTATGTCTGCTTACAAAAATTTCAGTATAAAAATCAATGAATCATTACGAGTACTGGTATGGTACACCAGGTCTTTTAGACGCAAACAATAAATTGTTTGGAAAATGCAATAAATATGTTTTAATAAAACATAAATACTACGCCACAGGGTGCACGAAAAGGTGATTACGTATAGTGTAGCACATTTTTAATTTTCTTCCCTGAATTCTTTTCTACAAAGTAATTGAATTTGTTGGTTTTACGCAAAATGTACTTATTATATTTACATATTCATGTACGCATGATACCTTTTACATTGTATTTGTATGTGCGTCATAATTTGGCAGATGAAAGCCATTGGCTGGATGCGTAAGAAATGTCTTTTTATTACCGGAAGACCACCCAATACGAGCATAAAACATTGATTTTTTGCCCTTTTGCAATTTTTGTGCAGTTCCTAGAACTTGCTCCTTTCGAGTAATCTTCGAGTCGCGAAATAAGTCTTTCAGAAGCAAGGAATGAAAGCCTAAGGACTTGCATATAAAGTCCAAATGATTCTCGTATGCTCGCCAGAATTTCCAACACCC